CCTGCTTCGAAGCAACGATGAGTTCAAAATAAAATGAGGCTTAGATATCATTTAAAAAAGTTGTGACTAAGATTTTGGACAACGTGAAGGCGCCCAACTATGAGCTTATTGTAACCAAGGCCCTGTCCATTATTTACATCAACAAAATAAGGAGAGGGGTTCTGAGTTTTTTTGACAATTGTTGACAAGAGGGAGGGGGGAGATCAAGAAAAGTTGGCGTTAGCAATGTTACTTTATTAAACAAATTTAGTTACTAAAAAAAAAGAAAATTACACAGCGTTTGCAGTCCTGTGTTACATACTCGCTCAACCTTCAATATTTTAATAAAGCTATTTATATTTCTACTTTTAAAAACTGTGTTGTGCTTTAAAAAAACCCGACACATTTTTTTTTAAATTCAATTCACCTCCTCAAGGCTATGAAGACCACTATAGTTAAGGAGGTTACTTTTTTTTGTTGTGGTTACAACCTTCTCTCAACTCTCTAACTTTGAAACACGAACCTTGACAAACAAGACCGCTAAAGAAGAAGTTGAGCGCAATACTACCAAGGCCGTGGTTAGGATCAAACTCGGAACTTCTTGCTTATGAGACAAGCGTTCTGCCACTATACCATCACCGCAACATACAGAAATAAATGAGCACACGCAAGATATTTACTTGTAATACTATTATTTTTTCATAATTGTTGTTGGTTAGTCTGCTGCACAAACAAAAAATACTTATTTAAGTACATGATCTGAATTATATTATATAAACGTTTATACTAGGGGTCGGCAGCCTGCGGCTCGCAACTGTAAATAATGAAAAATAAGAAGCAAATAGAAAACCAAGCCTCTAAAATTGTATTAATTCTAAACTATTGTAAGAAAAAAAGTGTATTTCTTTTTTTCTATTTTGAAGTATATAATTAATTTCATATTTTGAGACAATCGTGGCAAAAAAACAACCAGGATTGACTATTTTTCGGAAATTAGGTATTTCATTTTATTGATTTTTTAGCACGTTACATTTGTAAAGGTAAACTCGTTTAAACAATGTGGTCAACTTGAGTTGGTAAGAGCGACAACTAAAATGTTAAAACCGGTCACTGCCAATTCAGCGCTTAGAAGTACATTGGTACGCAAAAAGCGCTTAGAAGTACATAATACGCAAATTAGTTGATAAGTGGACGCTACTTTAGGTTAATCTTCGTCATTCGGGGGGCTCTGAGCTGTTGGAGGCTCAAATTTTTGAAAGAAATGCAGTGTTTAAAACTATTGTCAATTTTAAAGAGTTCAACCCTGTATGAAAAGTAATAGTCCGTACAAAAATTAAAAGAAATAAAATATAAAACAAAAACAAAACGATAAAAAGCAGTGATTACAAAAAGTATATATTAATACAACTAAAACAAACAAACAAAATTATAGATATATCGAACTCGAAATATATATATATATATATATATAAATATAAATATTATATATATATATATATATATATATATATATATATATATATATATATATATATATATATATATATATATATATATATATATATATATATATATATATATATCGGACTCGAAACTTCTCCCTTATGAGGTGAACGCTCTAAACACTACACCGCTACCGTTGCAATATATATATATATATATATATATATATATATATATATATATATATATATATATATATATATATATATATATATATATATATATATATATATATATAATATACATATATATGTATATATATATATAATATATATATATGTATATATATATATAATATATATATATGTATATATATATATAATATATATATATGTATATATATATATATATATATACACATATATATATATATATATATATATATATATATATATATATATATATATATATATATATATATATATATATGCACAAATTGATGGATACATTAAAAAACAAATGAATGAATGCATAACAAGAAACATAACACAAAAATAATAATAACGCAACATAACAAAAAAAAGAAGAACGTGAAGTTATAAAATCAGATGAAGCAATTTAATTAAAGTGTGACCCTACTACAGAATTTCCACTACAAACTGTAATGATATCTGCTATGTTTAGAGAAAAAATTGTCAAAATTACAAGCATTAATTTGCTGAGCTTTTAATGAATAAATACAGTACAAATACAGTTTTTAAGACGTCTTGCCGCACCGATGTTGTTTATGACGCTACTGTCACTGTGGCTACGACAGAAAGGTCGTTTTGAAAATTGAAGATAATAAAATATTATTTATGCAGTTTTACAGGCAAAGAATGTTTACATAATCTTTCTATATTAGGATTCAAAGCAAAAACAGCCAAAACTGTGGAAATCACAACCGTGATTACAGGTTTTGACAAATTAAAATCAAGATGGAAAGATTTACAATTTCAGATACTTTAATTTATTTGATTTCAAGTGTTCAACGGAGGAGAGGGGGAGGCACAATTTGAAGTTCTAGCTTTTATTTGCTTTTATAAAATTTTAATATTTTGTACACAATATTAAGACTAAAGCTTTGCGAATCAAATTTTTGGGAAATGAATCTAAAAAAATCAATGTAAATTACTTAATTACAAGCCCATAGACCAGTTGCAAGTTTTACGGAATCTCTGAAAACATTGATATCAAACACGGATATATATGATTAAATGACTTGTTTTATAACCATATATTAATGGCCCTAGTAAATATTAGTTTTCTATGATTAGATTATCGGGTTGTCCAAACTAAAATGTGACAAGACTATCGGGTTGTCCAAACTAAAACGTGACAATATATTGTTAATGCATAGCAACAACAACAACAACAACAACAACAACAAAAACAACAGCAACAACAACAACAGCAACGACAATGGTAATAACGGATCCAGGTGGGGGAGTGGGGAATGGGAGGTATGCATCCCCTCAACCAGAATCTAAAAGTCCTAAAATATCTTAGAAATGGAGGACCTCTTTTTTTATTTTAGGATACACAAATGTGATACAAAATACAAAAATGTTTCAACATCCTCCAACCATCCCCCCCTTCCTCCACCAAAAATTTCTAGATCCGTCACTGAACAACAACAAAGCTATTTTTTTCAATTAATATTTATTTTTACAATAATACTAAAATAATAATAATATAAATAATAATAATAATTATATTAGTAATAAAAAGTAATAGTTATAAACAGTAGCAGATTAAGACTTCTTGGGGCCCGGGGCTTTTTTTGTTTTTGAAGGCATTTTATGGGCCAGAGCCTAAAATGACTAAAAAAAAAAAGGTTCTCTAAAATTTTTGGGGGCTTCTAAACTTACGGGATCTGGGGCTATAGCCCCCCCTTTCCCATGATTCGGCACTGGTTATAAAAATATGATAAAGTAACAAAATTAATAAAAATTATAGTTACAATAATAAAAATAAATCAAAAAAAAAAAGCTTATAAGTATAATCTTATAATAATAAGTTAATGATTTATAAGGGTGGTGTCACATACTGGGCCGACAACACCAAGGGGAGGACGTCGTTGGTCCCCTTTTTTTTTAAAAGACCTTTTACCCTTGTCGTCGAACATGACATACAAAGGAGTACTTTTGTATAACTTCATTTATACTGTGAAAAAACGTATCTTTGTAATGTTAAAATACGTAATTATTATGGAATAACCAAATAGCATCACATTTAGCTGTTCAAAACGTTAAATTAGAAAGTATTTCATTAAAAAAATTATTAATAAGATGATTTTTTAAACAAGTTAAACATTGTGTTAAGTATCAACGCAATTTGTATTTTTTTCTAAATCAAGTTTACTTCTATTTAAGTCCTGGCAGTACGACAATTTAAATAGGTTCATGCTTGAAAAAAAAATTGAAACAATCGGATCTAATTCTTTTTTTTTTTCTTTTTTTTTTTTTTTTTGTCGTACTTAATATCTCAATAAATTTGTCTTAATCTATCGCTCGTTAAGAAGACATTACAACTACGCTGTAATGTTTTCTTAATAGTTTTCAGTACGTTGAAACATGACAGCAGCGTCCATTTAATTGCCGGTAACACTTTTATTACTTCAAAAAGTATTTTTTTACTCTAATTTATAAAATTTGATGTGTGTCTGTTTTTTTTTTTTAATTATGATCTATTTTTGTTTTTGAAATTAGTTTTACTTTTTTTTTTGTAATTAATAACTGTAAAATTTTAAATTACTTGGTTTAGATATAATTTTTATATTGTTTCAAGAAAAAATGTTCTAAAATCTCTCTTTGGCGGATCTTGTTATGTCACGTTCTTTTTTTTTTTCTTTTTTTTTTAAATCTTTTTATGTAACAAGGAAATAAAATTTGAATAAATTCAAATAATCCCTAAAATTAGTGTTGGTTTAAAATCGGTAGAGTTTTTTGGAGTGAATAACATCAATTATATATGTAAAAACAAACATAATGCGCCTAAAATGTGCGGTCTATTATGTAACTTGCTTATTGAGACCGTGATTAGTCGTTTTGTGCCGTTATTCAAAATTGAAGTTAACTGTTTTTTTAAAAATTTAATATCAAATAAATCCAAAATCTAATAAATCTTTATAAAAGTTTAAGAGTGAAACTGTTTTTTAAAGTTAGAGATTTTATTTTTGCGAGAAAGCATCTGTGTGCCGTTGAATACTATGTCAATGATGATACGGTGAATTTTTAATGCACCGTTTTGCGCGTTCATTAATTTAATAGAAACATCTGTATTCAATCGGAAACTGGCTTGAAACACTAACTTTCATGCGCATTTCTAGTTTCTATCCACCAATGAAAAGTGTGAGATTCATTTAAATTAACCAATGAATTGCCAAAATGCTCATTTAGTAGTTTTGAAAGACGCTTCACTATGATAGTTTATTAATAGAAGAAGAATATCCGAAAATTATTTTTGAGATTAGATCGATTTAAAAGAGTTTAAAAGCTTATTTTCAGCATAATTTAAACGCCATTACTTTTTATTAGATTGAAAAGTTGCATCTTCGAAGAATGCTAGCCAGCTACAGAACAATGAGCACGGCTAAAGTTGCGACGGTAAAATCAGACAGTAAAAATAAAGATCATGGAAAAAGTCAACCAATACTTCCTGAAGTATCACAACTTGTTATAGATCCTAAATCCGGTAAAAAATATATCAGAGGAAAATTAATGGGAAAGGTAAAAAATATTCTAACGAAGGCTTTCTATATAAAGTTTTCTATTAATAGTTTTTATCTCATTTTATTTTCGTTTTTTCTATTTATTCTTTTTATTTCTTTATTATCTTTATATTTATAGTTTTATATTCTTTTATTTTAGTTTTTTACAAGTTGTACTAAAATTATTTCAAAACTTTAAAAAAACCTAAAAGTGTAAATGCAACCGATAAAATGTGTTAAGGAAAAATAAACTGTAAAATTTGACATTTATTTATGTTTTAAATGACAGATATAATTAACGTTTAAAAAAAAATGAATGGATTGTCTATTTTTATGGTATCGTTTAAAAATTACGCAAAACAACTTTTGAAATTGAAAAACCTCAACCAAAAACATGCATAGAAAAATAAGCGTTTTTAATAACTATATTTTTTAATGTTTTTAAAGGCTACCTTCTAATTTTGAAACTTTTTCATGGCACTTTAACATTTTCTTTACGCACCTGTAATGTATTTCAATTTTTTTTCTACAGTCTTACAATTTATTTCTTAGCTTTGTTTTTATATTAGAGGTGTTTTTGCTTAGGGTGGATTCGCTCGCTGCTATGAAGTCACAGATGTGCAAACCGATAAGAAGTTTGCTTGCAAGGCTATTTCTAAAGCAAGAATATCTAAACCACATCAACAACAAAAAGTATTATTTTATTTTTTGGATGTTATTTTTTCAATAATTCACAACATAATACAGATAATTTGAAAAATAAAACTTTGAAAAGCATTAAATAACTAAATTAAGTTAGTTAAATAACTTAATTAAATTGAGGAAATATTATTTGAGAACAATTTAAAAAATAATACGTAAAAAATTATTTTGTTCCTTAGTAACGGGTTGCTCATTTGCATCTTAGTCATGTCGGAGATGAATCATATCAATTTTCATAAACAAATTATTTATTCATATACTTTAGTATGAATTGAATTTTCATCACAATTGCTCTTCAATTATTACTGTGTGCATATCATGCGTGAATGTAGTCCATCATGTGATATCTCTTGTTTTAGTAATGTATAACTATGTATATCATGTGAAAATATGTTTATAGTCCATCATGTGATATCTCTTGTTTTAGTAATCTATAACTATGTATATCATGTGAAAATATGTTTATAGTCCATCATATGATATCTCTTGTTTTAGTAATATATTACTGTATATATCATGTGAGAACGTGTGGCTTTATAATCCATTACTCGATCTCTTTTTTAGTAAATTTTCAAAAAGATTTAGTTAATAGGTTAAGTTTTTATTGACACTTCATCTTTTAATTATCAGTTTTAAGGAAACCATATTGTTTTGAATCTTAGGTGCACTGATATCTTGTGATATTAGAACTTTTTTTTTTTGAAATAGTGATGGGTAATTTTTTTTTTGAAATAGTGATGGGTAATTTTTTTTTTGAAATAGTGATGGGTACTTTTTTTTTTGAAATAGTGATGGGTTATTCTTTTTTTTGAAATGGTGATGAGTAGTTTTTTTTTTCAAATAGCGATGGGTAATTTTTTTTTGAAATAGCGATGGGCAATTTTTTTTGAAATAATGATAGGTAATTTTTTTGAAATAGTGACAAATTTTTTGAACAAAAATTCAAAAAAATTACCCATCATGATGGGTATTTTTTTTTGAAATAGTGATGGTTAAAATAAAAAAACGGCTTAAATTATACCAAAGGTAAAAAGGTTTTTCTGGAAACGATTATAATTTATCATAATAATAAAAAGTCGATGCATTAGCCCGTTAATCCATATAAGATGGTCACAACTAATGCTTAGTTTTAAACAATATTGATAATAATTTGCGGTCAAATGTTAATTGCAAGTACTATCAAGAAAAAACAAAATGTTTTGATTTCTTTAGTTAGATCTTTTTAAGATTAATTGAAAAAAAGATTCAAATAGCATTTCTAAATAACATTTTGCAGTTTAAACACAAACAAAATTGTACCTAATATAACTCGTAATGTAAATCAAATACCGTTAATTACTTTTTGTTTAAAAGTGTTACTTTGTTTAAAAGTGTTACTTTGTTTAAAAGGGTTACTTTGTTTAAAAGTTAATACTTTGTTTAAAAGTTATTACTTTGTTCAAAAGGTTTACTTTGTTTAAAAGGTTTACTTTGTTTAAAAGCTAGATACTTCCAAGCATAATTAAACATGTCTTGTTTTATTTTACCGTAAAAAGTCAAATGTTACTTTTGGTATTATACGGTAAAATGTAAAAAGACATGCTCTAACTTCTTTGTTAATTTTTTATGTCTTTTTTTTTTTTTTTTTCTATAATCTTTAAGCCATTTTGTTAGTTTTTATTTCATTACTTTTTAGTAGAAAAATTTTAGCCATTACCAATTAGAAAAAATAGATTTGTTTTATTTAATTTAAAATTTACATGTTAACGTAATTACTATTATTATTGTTAGTTATAATTTAAATATCATTTGCGGTGTAAAACAATAAAATTCACGATGTAAAATATCCTTCCACGAGGCAAAATATAAAAAAAATACAAAGCAAATTATGAATATGAAGATTGATTATTATCATTATTTTAACTAACTATTATTCAGAATAAAAAATGCTATATGAGAATAAAAAATGCTTAATTGACGAGAATAAAAAATGCTCAATTGACGTCCAATTAAGAAATAATGTGTAGTAATTTCTGAAAATCGAAAAAAAAAAGATTGAAAACTTAAAATAACTTAAATGAATTAAGTTAAAGTTATTAAAAGTCTTCGAAATGTATTATACGAAATAGCTATGGATTTGTTAGTAAACCAAAACAATTAATATCTTTATTTTTCATTCTTTAAGTTCTTTTTTTTTTGCAGGTTCTTTAAATTAAATTAGTGAAAAATGCTTTTATGCATTTATTTTTCATGAAAATAGCCATTTGCAAATACGAGAACCGTGTCCGCAGTGGTTGAAAGGCTTGCTTTAGAAGTTAGAGAATCCAGGGTTTGAAGCGAGCTCTGAAAATACCATCAGTAAGGACAAACAGCGGGAGCCATGACGCAGCAATATGATTTGCACGCACTAAAAATTATTAAATTATTAAAAAAATTATTTAACGCTGAATGAATAGATTAGAAACGACATTTTGCGCCGAAATTTTAACTTAATTTAACAAATTTGAGCAGCTGTGGCGCAGCGGTAGCGCACTTGCCTCAGAAACGATGGATTCCTGGTTCAACTCCCACTTCTGGAAAAATTTTGCGACATTGGTTAGGAAGGAGGCGTAATTTTCCAATTAAATGCTTATCCGCGGTGCTCTGTGAGAAGACCGTAAGGACTTCTTTGGGGTACCTAAATATAATAAAAAAAAAAAAATCATCGAGCGTACTCATTTTTTTGACTAAAACATATTTCCGTTAAATAATCAGGTCTGTGAACTATGAAAAGACGAAAAAAATTAAAATTATAAATTTTGCGGTATCATAAAGTATAAATGTTTATAGGGAAAAAACACCCGAAGGTTCTTTTTTTTTTTTAAAAAAAAAAATTTCAAAATCACAATCGCTCGTCCAAATTTAAATAAGATTTAAAATAAATACTTTTTTTTAGGTAAAATGAACATCATTGTTTAATAATATAATCTGTTCTGATCGTTGGCAATTTTGCGCAATTTTTCTTAATTATAAGATCTTTCTTGCTCGGAATTCTAGTATTTTTTTTGAAAATTGATAAAAATATTGTTTTTTGATAACATTATATAGTAAATATACGTCAGAACCGATTAGAACTAAAATCTATAGTAAATTAACGCACTTTTTCAATAGATTTTAACTAAATTCATGTTAACGCCGATGAGCGAAAGTGATCTAAAGATTCCAACTGTAGTCTTTAGAATCTAAAGAAATGGTGTTCTTTAGATTTACTATTTGGTAAAAAACCTGGAGCAAAAAAATTATACACTTGTTTGGACATAATACGATGATAAAACCATGATAATTCCAAATAAAAGAATTCGAATAATTTGTAAATCGCCTTAACTACACCGAGTATAGGCTCACTTATAATTATTATATATTTTTTAATATATCATTTAAAGTTATTTAATACATAATGAAGAGATTACAAATGACTCGTTTTTTTTTTTTTTTTTTTTTTTTAACTTTTTTAGATTTTTTTAAACGTGTATTGTAACTTAAAAGTGATGGGAAGAAAGAGGGGGGTTGGGGAGTAATAGGGCTTGTGTCACCCCACCCCTTTTCTTTTAAGTATATATTTTTATTTAGAAATTTCAAGATATAGAAGACCTTTTTTTTAAGAAATTGACAATTGTGACCCCCACCTCCATCCTTCGTTAGCCCTATGTACATAATCAACTCAAGATAAAATTAGAAAAACTATTTTTTTCAAAATTAGTAAATTGAATCTTCTTTTGAATAATTTTTTGCTCGAAATCTTTTGTCACTAAAGGTTAGGCTTGATATCGATATAAAGACTTAATGTTAGGTTTTATATAGTTTAAAGAATTTTGATAGGTTAAACAATGATAAGTCCTTAATTTGTTACTAAAAAAGATTTAGCTTTCAAGCTTTTAATATTCAAAAGAAGAAAAATAATATAACCTCTATTTAAATAATATGAATCGCGAACTGAATTTGCAATTCATATTATAGAAATAAAAATATATAGCTTAAAAATGCAAAAATTGCTACCACGCGTATGAATAGGTTAACGTTTGAATCAGGCGCCAAATGTTTAACGTCATTTTTTAAAATTAAACGTATAGCTATATTACACAAAGTAAGCCGACATTTTTGCGACACATTCACTCTGCTGAATTTCTTTGTATTTCTCCGAATTCTCCCGTAAACATGTTATAACCCGAAAATACTGTTATATTGTTTGGAAAAAATTTTTTAGGATAGGAAAAGAAATTATTGTTCAGAGCCAAAGACACCGGTGGGGGAGGGGGGTGGGCGAAGAAGCACGGTTTCCCCCACTTTTTTTCTAAAAGACCTTTTTATTTTTAAAAAGAAAATTCTAGATATAGAAGACTTTTTTAAAAAATTTACGATTGTGCCCCCCTCCTCCCCACTTCGAAATCCGTATCATCGGCCTTGTTGTCAGTTAGATATACCTTTAGTGTTTCTTGGTAATAAGGAGTTATTGAGTCAGTGCTTGTTAAATTATTCTCTCCTATTTTCTTTGTCTTATTTATAATAACTGAGATTTTAGTATTTTCTAGCATTAGAGTGATCTATATTTAGTCAACAAATAACATTTTCATAATACTTAAAAGTTATTTTAGTTGTGATTTTTTGATTAATTATTTAAGTTGTAATTTTTACATGTTATAAATAAAAAAAACATAAGAGGTTATCTTTAATAGATCGCTCTAAAGAGTTATCTCTATTGTATTTCTATAAAAATGATTAGAGGAGGTTAGAGATGTTACAGAACTTTGACTCCAGCTCGGTAGTTCCGGTTAATTTCTACCTCCGGTACCGATAGTTTTACTTTGATTGTTATTATAAAGATCTAAATTTAGAACGCATTAAACTTTAAAGTTGTAATTGAAGACAATTTTTTTAGTATTAAAAAGTTAAACTTAAACATTTATGGAAAGTTGTTCACAACTTGTGAATTGAAAATCTTAGTTGTAAATTTATGATTACTGAATTATTGTATTATTATTTCATGAGGCTTGTGCAACAGTTCTATTTTTTTCTCAAGCTCCACCTCCAATTATAAAAATATTTTTAACTTCATGTTAAGCTAAAATTTAACGCAAATTTACTGGAGAAGTATATCTATATTCTTTTAGAGCTTTTTTACTTTAGATCTTTAGGCATTAAAAACAATTTAAAATGAAATCTAATTAAACCGTCCGAGGTTGAAATTTATTTTTTAAATTGATATCAATTTTCTTTATTTCTACAAATTGTCTTAACGTTTTACTGACTATCTGTCAGGGATCAATTAAATCGCATTTTAGTATATTTACATTAAATTTTTTCAGGTTGTAAACTTTTTAGAATATTTTAGAACATTTTAGAATATTTGGTGGTACACCACCAAATATTCTAAAATGTTCAAACTAAAAAAAAAAAGATAAATTTTATATCAATAAAATTTAGAATGCTATTTTATACTTCATTTTACTTTGCCTCGATTACTTTGCCTCGAATTTATCAAAAAACATTCATTTTAAGGGGTCCATTCAAAACACGATTACTTGAAATATATTAATATAACATTCATGAAACTTTTTACATATGTTCTAGACATTTTTTTTAGACCTTATTTTTTTAAACCTTAAAATTAAAAGAAAAAAAGATAGGAGCAGAATTTTAAAATTTTGAAATGTCATTCCTTAGAATATAGTATAATAAACATTTCCTGAAAATTTGAAGTGGTTTGCACTTTTGCTTCTCAAGATATCATGTTTACAATCAGACCATGTTTCGTAAAATTTGAAAACGGAGAAAAACGCAAAAGAAGATTAAATATTCTTGTCATTTCTATATAAATTTTTTTTAGTTGGTTAATTAATCAAGAAATTAAAAGATATGTTGGGAATAAGGTTTTTATATTAATAATCTACAGTAAATTGCCTATCAAATGAACGAAATATCAAAAATTCACTTTTTTTTTCAATTTTCAAAAATTATTTGGTGTTGTACCACCTTAAGCCAACTTATAAACTTCGTTTAAAAATTTGAAAATGTTTACATTCTCGTTTTCAAAAAAACATGCGGGCAGAAAAAACAAATAATCGGAAATTTGCCAGCAAAAAATATTGAGATGCTTGTATGCTTTGTTAGGAAACTTATTCACTTATTGATTTTTTAGCAAGAATTAAATTATTTCAATCAATTGTTGTGTAATTAGTTACTCAAAAAGATGTGAAAATTAATGTGGATGTAAAATTTATAAATTTTCTTTCGGAAAATCAGCTTTTAAAAGAAGAAGATCATCTTCTTTTAAAAGATTTTCCAAAAAAAAATTCTTCAAGATGTAGAGACTGGATTAACACAATCCATAACATTGAAGTTGCTCCAATTTCTAGTTCGATCCAAAAAAGAGAAAAGTATGCTAAAGTATATAAACGAGAATCCTTATTAATATTATCATCTATATATAAAAATTAAATTTTAACACTAAACTAAATAAGTTTATTATTTCTAAATATTTTCAACACAATATTTATAAAGCAGAATTTTAATGCAGTATTAAACATAATTGAAATATTGAACTTGAAAAATAAGCTTGATTTGAACAAAGAAAAAATATTTCATACCAAAATCTAACATCGGATGAACAAAATAATTTTTTTCAGACATCTTGAATGGTAATGCAGCTCTTTAAAAAAGTTAAAACTTACTTCATTCACACTTAATGTTGGAGGATCATCACAGGCTTTATTAGGTGTCTCTAACCACTGTACCTCAGATTCTAAATTACTACTATTTAAAAATATTCTTTTTTTTGAAAATCGCTAATCAAACATTGTTGATTGGCAATTTTATTTTAATTATGTAGTCAATAATATTTTTTAAAATCATAATTACTACAGACAAATATCGAATAAAAGCTAAAATTTTAAAAAATTACATTTTTTAAAGTTCTGGTTATACATATTTTATATTTTTCTATACTTTCTAATATTTTAGATAGCAAATGAAGTAGAATTGCACAAAAGTTTTAATGGTCGTTTTATTGTACGTTTTTATGGTTATTTTGAAGATGATGACAACGTATATATACTTCTGGAACTTTGTAATCGTAAGGTAATTATGTTTAAAAACATTTTTCTATTTTAATAGCACAATGAAGTTTAAATTTCAGGATTTTGGTGTAATTTTTTTACAAAAAAATTGCTTATTAGTGGTGCACACAGGATTTTTTGATGTTTCAGATATGACACTTTCATGTATTGTGTTAACTCCAAACTTTAATAGGTTCAGGACTATGCCAAATGAGAAGGCTTTGCAAAAAATTGCAATAATGCAGACCCGGGAATAAAAATAATTTTCAGTAAAAATTTGGCCCCGACTCCGGCTAAATGAGCCTTTTTGCAAACCCGGCCCCGGCAAAATTATCAGATTTAGCAGGGGTTGATAGTTAGGGCTAGAGTTTTATAGTTTTTTAGATATTATAATTTTATACTTACATTTACTATTTGTTAGATACTGGCATATATTTATGTATTTTTAAACTCTAATTTACTTCCAGCAAGGTTGCAAACAACCACTATTAAGTTATGAGTTACTTTAAAATAGAGGATAGGTTTAAAAGTTAGGAAACAGTTAACTGAAGACTTAAAAAGTTGTAGGTTGTATAAAAAAAGAAAGCATGAAGATGGGTTAGATTTTTTAGGGTTATTATTATAAGGTTTTTTTGATGTGAAGAAAAAAAACTGGATTAATAAAAAGTTTTTATAGCATGAAGAGATACAGTAAAGAATGCAACTTGTTGAATAAGAAGCCAAGCAAGAATGAGTTATGGTTCATTTTAATAGAGATAATAGCTCGATTGAGAATTGAACATGGTTAGATATAAAAATGTTTATATATGAATTTATATACAAAATATAACATGAATTTTGAATTTAAAAAAAAAAAAAAACTTTAGGATGTATAAATGTTTATGCAGCACTGGTCAAAAATCTGACCCCTGCTATATTTTATCAAACCCGGCCCCGGCCTTGGAAAAATTCAATTCCAGTGGCTTACTATCTTATTGAATTCATCAACAGGTTTTTAATTGAATTCATCAACGTCTAATTGAATTCATCGACATCTAATTGAATTCATCGACAGGTTTTAAATTATATTTAAAAATAGTCTAAAATACAAAAGTTATGACCATACAAAATTTATAACCCTCCTCATTTTGGGGGTCGGAAATTTTGCATGATCATAACTTTTGTAATTGACAATCTTTTTAGATAAAATTTAAAACCTGTTGATTAATTTAAGTTTAGTATAAGATAGTAAAGTTTACCATATAACTGCCCTCGCATTTGGGCAGGGGAGAACAAATTTCGGGGTATTTTTGTCCTTGGGGCCCATCATCGCAATTTTAAGTCTCCTCATTTGGCATACGCAATAGCATACTTAAGTTTAAAGTTAGCATAATACATGAAAGTTTCATATCTGAAACATCAAAAAATCCTGTGTATGCCCTTGCTCATTTAACATATTTTTTTGAAAATCTAATTGATGATAATGCATTCATCGTTTAAATTGTTTACACAATGTAAAAAGTATCTTTCTCACTTAGATTTTTCAATGTTTATTTATGTATTTTTTTGGCAATGAATTCAAAAATTTTAATCATTTTGATGTAACATCAATAGTTGTTTATTTATGCCTAATTTCATATTTTCTTGATATAAGTGCAAGTTTTTTTATTCAGTATATTGTTTTTTTAGTCAGTATATTGTATTAATCTATTCTTATATTCTGAAGATAATTACATAGCATATACTTTTTCAAATATTGAAAAGTATGTGGGAGGTACAACATTAGTGAAAACAAAACGAAACATTTTTTACTATAAATATTTTTAAACTTACAATTGAATACAATTTTTGACTATTAACTCTTTCTTTTTTTACTATAAATAATTAATTGTTCAAGAAGTTCTTTGACATTAAAATTGTCTTTTTTCTTCTGTACCTAGTGTTCAAAGATGGATATTTTAAATATCAAAGCAGTGTTGCTCCTCAATGGAAATAAATTTTATTTTCATTGTGTAGCTATTGTGTAAAATGTTCAAATTTAAGAGAAGTAGACAAATCAGTCACATCTTTACAATAACTTTGATCATTACAGAAGTCATAATAAATTTTAAATTCTTTATGTTGTTTCAAGTACACACATGTCCTGCAGTCTTCATGTGGGATAGGTGTAATAGATGGTGTTCAAAACAAATTGTCTAAGATGTTTTCAAAACAAATTTCTTTGGTCTTGAGTGAAACTTTAAATGTGTATTTAGAGTTTTTTTTGAAAGATTTAACAAAACAGAAATAGAAAATCTTGTATTTATAGTACCTAATGATATCATAATTTTTTATTTACAGTATACATATTATTATCTGTCTTTTAACCTACTTTTCTCTTTCTTTATTCAAGCTTAGGCTGTGAGACATGCACACTAACAACTTCCCATGAAATGTTTTGTGAGTCACTGACAATGTATGGGCTTTTAGTTGCCGGTTGCAGCTAAAAATCTTTTACATTTAAATTACATAAAAAATCTTTACATTTTTAGAATTAGCAGGGAAGTAAATTTACATTTTGTAAAAATTTGTAACATTGTGTCATTATGAAATTTGTTAAGGAAGGGTGGGGGGATTGCTCAGCAACTTATTCTTGATATGCTACCGACTTCATTTATATAAGTTATTATTTGATAAATAATAAGTCATGTAAGTCTTTGCACAAAAAAAAATGACATGTAAATTTTAAAAGGCATAAATTATAAAAATTTATTTTTATTAGTAAATTCTATAAATTTATTTTTATTAATAAATTCTATAAATTTATTTTTATTAGTTAATTCTATAAATTTATTTTTATTAGTAAATTCTATAAATTTTGTATCCAGTAATCCTTCAGTTAAGCAAGGTAAAATTCTTTTTTGTGCTTGTAACAAATACGTTTGCATATGGGTTGATTTATCTCTAATAAATATGTCAGATTTTTTACAGATTAAAAAAAAAACATTTATTTGTGGGTCAAGGTTAGCTTTGAGGGTTAATTTTAAAAATAGAACAACCTGGCCCTTACCTTGACCCTATTTAGACTATGACTCTCAATCTGACTCTAGCAATGACCCCCTCACCCTGAGCCTATTGTATTGGTTCTTGATCTATTGTAATTTTGATTGAACTTGATCTATTTTACTGTTTCAGACTTACAATACATTGTGACAGGTGTTAGAAATTTTCTTTTTACTCTGCTTATCTTATTACCTTGTATCCTTTGATATCCAGTAAATTAAAGAATATAATAAAATATTTTTAGCTTAAAAGGATATATTTAAATATTATTTATATATTGTATAAAGTATAAAAAGGTTTGTTTAGTTCTACATTTAGTAATCTAATTAAGATATATTTTATATGATATATTTTGTTATAATATTTTGTATTAAATTACATTTTAGATAAAATGAATTTGAAAAAAGTCATTGAATTTTTAAAAATTTTTTTTTTTTAATTTATTTTTTTTAGTCAATGGTTCAACTCCTTAAACAGCGACGAACTTTAACAGAACCAGAAGTTCGTTATTTTATGCATCAGGCTGTTCAAGGTGTTCAATATCTACATCAGGAAAGTGTTATACATAGAGATATAAAACTAGGAAATTTATTTATAAACAATGACATGGAAATAAGAATTGGTGACTTTGGGCTTGCAGTTCAAGCAGATAAAGATGGAAAAAAAGAAATGTAACTATTTATTGCACTATTTATTTTTATTGTTTACATTTTTGAAAAGTTATTGCTCTATCTAATGCATAGATTTTTTTTTATATAGGTCAGTATGTGGTACGCCTAATTATATTGCTCCAGAAGTTTTAAGTAAAGCAGGTCATTCATTTGAAGTTGATACTTGGGCTTTAGGTTGTGTTATGTAAGTCTGTGACACAATATTTAATATGAAATATATATATATATATATATATATATATATATATATATATATATATATATATATATATATATATATATATATATTTATATATATATATATATATATATATATATATATATAAATTTATATATATATATATATATATATATATATATATATATAAACATATATATATATATATATATATATATATATATATATATATATATATATATATATATATATATATATATATATATATATATATGTATATATATATATATATATATATATATATATATATATATATATATATATATATATTTATATATATATAAATCTCTAAACTTCTTGTCTTTTCTTTTTTTTTTTAATCAAAAGTTAAAAGTTATTTTCAATAAAATAATGGGTAGAACTCCTTAAATAAAGTTGCATATAAACTTTTTTTATACATATTTTGGTTTTGATATATAAGGTAACACGAGGCTAATCCAAATGTAACCGATGTCTAAAGGTTGTAAAGCGTGACTGCTATTTGGGGGTAGGCAAATGAGTGAAATCTAAATTGCAGAAAGTATTCAATAAAATAAAAAATATTTTAAGATAAAGCTGCTTACATTGTCGGGTTTTGCCATGATGGCTGCCAGGACTATCCATAAATAGTGCTATATGCATATATTAATTTTGTAAGGAATAAAGACCTTAATTATTTAAAAAAACACAAATCAAAATTAACCTATCTAAACGATTGAAAAGGGGAAAATGATAAACTGTAAGTTTACGCCAAATGTATTAAAGCACCTGCTTGAATTTCTGATATGGCTAGCACAATATCTTCTGAAATGTATGAAACAGATGGTTTTTTCTTTTCTTATAATGACAAACCATTGTGAAAACTAAAGAAATTCAGAAAAAAAATAATGTAAAATGCATATTTAAACACAATTAAAAACAATCACAGTATAAAAGTGATACAGTAAAAGTTAAAAAGTAAAATCAAGAAATCTTCTCAACAAAACAAATGAAACCAAGATATTCAAGCAGAAACCACAATCATTATGTTATAATGTGAATGAGGTTTAATTAACTTAATTAAATTAATTGCTTATAACTTTACTTACAGCGTATTAAATAAATGCTAAAATATAGGAATACCGACCAACTCAAACAATGTTTGGATTAGCTCTACAAATGTTTTTAGTCCCATTTTTTCAATGTCAAAATTCTGGTGGAAAAGTTTAGAATACTACAAAAAAGAATACTCCAACAAATTCTATATTAAAAGCAATCTTTGTAAAAAAAATACAATATAAATAAATGGGTTATTTTTTAAAAGTTAAAACGTTAAAAAAATTCAAAATTTAACAATTATGGGAAAACAGAAATAATTTGTGAAACTGTGGTGTTTTCGAAAGAACAATTATTATATATTGTGATTCTATGATTATACTTTATAGAGAACGAGGTTAATCCGAATTTAATACTTAATTTTTGATTTATACATAAAATAAGTAAAAAAAATATATATAATATAATAGATTAGCCCCTCATTCTTATTAGCCTCATGTTACCTTATTTTTTTAATACTTTACTGATCTTTATGTTCTCAAACTTAATGGTGAAAGCAAAAATTGTTTTTATAGATGAGTTATAATGTGATTATAACTTAGCTATGAAATATGATAAATTTAATACAATGAAGTTTTTTTCACACTTTTTATGTAAATATTTCATTAATTTTTTATGTAATTATTTAATTAACTTTTAATGTTGTTATTTAATTTATTTCCATTCTCATTTTCTAAAGCAATATATTCTTGCTTTTAATATCATAGAATAATTTAACTTTATGGTTGCTAATTTATTGTAAAATGTTTTTGAATTATAGAATTGTTTCATTTACTTTGCTTTATCTAGTACAAGATTTATAAATACTGTTCTAGCAATATACTTTCTGTAAACTCTTTAAATTTTAATTACAAACACATAAATGCCTAATATAATCTCGCCTAATAATTTCTTTTATTTTATTTTGTTTTTCACAAACACTGGAAAAACCTAGAAGCTTCAAAGAAAATATATATCTTTTTTAGATAATAGTAAAACAGTTTTATATTTTGTTAGCAAAAATGTAATGAAAATAAGAAGCAATCAGCGAAATATGTGTTCAAATCAAAAAATATATAATTGTATTAGCTTTAAGCAAGTAGGAAAAACTGCAGAAAGTTCTCAATCTAACTTTAATGAAGAGTCACACTTGACAAGATTTTAATTATGAATAAATAACCTTAAATACTTGCAATTAAATCTTATTAAGTTAAATCAAGTATTTTGATAAATTATTGTATTCTGTTTAGTTAAAGAAATATCACAAATATTTAAATGACACTTTTGAATTAACTTTTTTTTGGTAACTGATCCACATTGTAGACCATAAAATCTGGTCCTAAATGTTGAGTGAGTGCTAGGATGCTTTATCGATAGTTATTTTTCCCAACTTTATTAGGGGTTGGGGAGAACTTTATATATGCATCTAAAATGGGGAAAAAAAAAATATTAAGTTGATATTTCAAACCACTTATTGCATTTTTAGATAAAAATTAATTTGAAAAATATAAATAAAGCTCTTGATTTGTTTGATGTTAGTGATGAAGAAAGTAATATTGATTTTAATTAATATAATTCTGAAAATATTTTGGAATATGTAAATTAATAATAGCTATATATATTCGAGGATTTATCAGTTTAAAACATAGTTATACCTTCAGCATTCGTCAAAATTGCTCCTAAAACTCAAAGTTTGATCATTGATAATTCTGCATCTGAAGAGCAAGCAGATAATACCCCGAATATTAAATCTAAGACTGAGAAGGAAATTTATGAGTAAACATCAAGAGACATGAATAGGAAATGTTATAATAAAAACATAATAAAATTTTTCAATTACCGATATTTTACACTCACAAAAACATACGAAAACCAAGGGTAATGAGAATAAAGAGGTTTACACTTTAAAGTTTTTTCACTAAAGGTCTAAATATTAGATTGGGAGGAAACACTACTCTTAACATTCTTGAAGCTTACTTAAATAATGATATTTTAAAACTTGCTTTTGTTGAAGGTGACCAATTCTGCAACAAATTTATGAGCAGTCACCTAAAAAAGCCAATAATTCCTATGTGAATTATTAAAAAGTTTTAACAGTAGTTTTTAAAATTTTTAAATTTTTTCGTCTTGTTATATTAGTTAGTACCATACATTAACCAAGTTTAAATACCTACTGATCCATCAATCATTTTTATTGGACACCAATCTTTTCAAAAACCATGTCTTGAGACGTTAATTTCATAGTTATTTCCAAGTTTCTATATTTCAACAAAAATAATAATTCTGTTTGTAATCTTAATGATCCTAATGATGATTGCAATGGGGTTAGCAGTTACTAAAAATGATCAGTGTTGACATTGGCAAATATCTTTCAATCAAAAGTGGCTTGAATTTTTTTCAAAATGTAAAAGAGCATGATTTAGAATATAGTAAGAATGTAGTTAATGATATTACACTTGATTTCCTAATGTACTGTCAGAATGTAGTTAATGATATTACACTTGATTTCCTAATGTACTGTCAGAATGTAGTTAATGATATTACACTTGATTTCCTAATGTACTGTCAGAATGTAGTTAATGATATTACACTTGATTTCCTAACTGTCAGAATAGCATGTATAATGATGTCAAAAGTTCTGTAATACCTTTAAACCAGTGCATACCTACAGAACTGATGTTTTTCTAGGTTAAGATATTGTTTACTAGTAGTTACTATACAAGCTCTTTTATCAGCCATGTTTTGTCCAAGAAGACTATATCTGTAACACAATATACATGAATCAAAAGTTTAAAGCAAGGAGATATTGAACAAGCAATATGAGAAAGCACTTCTACCAAACTACAAGGATTTCTACAAGATTTTTACCAAACTTGCATTGAAACAATAAAATGTTAGCCTGAAAATATTGTGCAACCAAAAAAATCAGGTAACAAGCAGAAAGTTGTTTACATGTTGTCAACATACCACAATCCAGTGACATTACCACAATCCAGTGACATTAGAAAGAGAAAAATCTGATAAAGATAGTAAAATTATACTTAAACCATCACATATTAAGTTAAACAATGTACACATGAGTATTACTTTTGTTTGAAGATTATCTAGTAAAACTTGATTGATAACACTAGAGAAAAAAGAAAGATTAATAGGTTATAACTTTTCTTAGTTTTTTTAACATTTTGAAAAATCTCTTTTATTACTCTTTAAAAAAATTTAAAATTCCTAGTTATTAATTTATCTTTATTTGAAAAAAAAATTTTTAAACATCTTTACTTCCAACAAGACTGCAAGCAACCACTATTAGAGTTGGAAGTTACTGGAAGAGAAAAGATGAAGTTTATAGAGCTAACAATTACAAGAAAACAATTAACAGACAAATTAAAAGATTGCAAGTTATATAAATCAGGAAAACAAGGGAGCAAATTTCGAAGAACTTATGTTCGAGAAAAAAAAACTAGATAAATACGAATTTTTGGAGCACTTAGGAACAGTCATAGTAAAAAGATGAGTGTTAATTGAATGACCAGTAACACGAGAATGAATTTTAGTTGATAGCACAAGAGACGCTAGCTCTTTAGAGCAGTGCTCATTTTAATATTTATAGAAAATAGAAAGAGAAGATAATGGCAATGTGATAATCGTTGGAGGTTGGCTGCAAGAGCAGGTCCAACTATGTTTACAATGCCTTTTTGTGCCTTGTGTAAAAGAGAAAGGACATCATTGGAAGATCCGCCCCAGATATGGTAAGAGTGTTCCATACAAGAACGGATTTGAGATTTATAGAGATAAAGAATAGAATCCTGAGTAAGAAAGTGCCAAGCAGGATAAAGAGATTCAACCTTAACAGATGCTAATTTTGCAATCAATTTGATATATGGTTTACAAGAAAGATCAGAAGTAAAAATTAATCCTAGGAGATGAAAGGTAGATGACTCATTAAGAACATTATTGTTCATAAATATAGGGCGATCTAGACTATTGTAATTATGATTGGCTGAAGAAATTGAGTTTTTTTAGCCACTGAGAGCCCCATGCTGTAGCAGAAGTGAGATCTTTTTCAAGCTCAAATGTCCCTGCAAATCAATCAGAGAGTGTTGGCTTCTTATCAAGACAAGAATAATTGGTTGTATCATCAGCGAACAATGGCACCTTAGATGTGAGAGTTTCTGGGAGGTTGTTTATCTAAGTTAAAAAGAGTATAGGAACAAGGATAGAACTTTGAGAAACCTCTGAAATTACAGGATATGAAAAAGAGTGTTGTCTATCGAGGACAACTTTTGTTCTATGATTGGTGAGGAAGGATTCAATTATCGATACACCGTAAGAAGAGAGTTTATGGAAAAGACCAGCATGCCAAACTTTATCAAAGGTTTTAGAAATGTTGAGAGCAATAGCCTTAACCTCTCTGCATCTATCTAATGCCCGATAAAATCTATTGATTATTATTGTTTACTAATCAGTAGTAAAACAAGAAGATCAAAATCCATATTGATGATTAGGAAGCAAGTTATTAGATTCAAGATGAGAGATTAAGTGTTGGTTAATTAAAGGCTCAAAAACCTTGCTTATGATAGAAAGAAGACTAATGGGACAGTATTTAGACAAGCCAGAATTTTTGAAAATAGGGATAACAGAGGCTGCTTTCCAGCAGGTTGGAAAACAAGACTCTGACAAGCACTTATTAAACAGTTTTGACAGCTCTGGAGAATGCTTCTGCAAGACTATAACAGTTATGTTGTCCACAAGCTGGATCACAAGCTGTAGAAGAGTATAAACAGGAAATCACTTCAGATACAGAAGCTGGAGTGATACAAATGGATGCAATGGGTCAATCTGTTTTTCAGCTATATCAGGTAAATGTGACTAGTGAAATCAAAAGATGATATTTATGAGAAGTAGAATGAGTTGCCTAGTCATAAAAACAATGACACAAGCAAAACCCATGCATCGAGTCAAGAAGTTCTAGTATTTAACATCCTAAATTGGAAACAATTTATTATAAATTCATCTGTTTTACTGTATTATGTCAACATAATACAGTAAAACAGTAGAATCTGTTTACCCCTTTAGTCTTTATCTGTTCAAGATGAGTATTTTTACTGAGACATCATCTCTAGCCTTTACTCAACCACAGGCCCAAAAGCAGGGGGTGTTTTAAGTAGGTGTTAACTTCTCCTAGTCTTTGTCTAAAAATGTGTATCCTACAAAGAAGCTGGGCATGAAATAAGTTGTACTGGGTTACATGTTACAAGTAGCAGGATAACTTGACCTGGCGTTAAATTTATATTCAACTGAAATTGAAACTGAAATGTTATATTTAACTTTAACACTCTTTTTTGTTTACAGCTCCAATTTTATGTTTCCTCAAAATCTTTACTTTTCTTTTGATCAAGTTTTTTAACTGTTTTGCACTTATGTATGTATGTATGTTATAAGCAAATTAGTATTATCTTAATACAAATCTCTCTCTTTTATATATATATATATATATATATATATATATATATATATATATATATATATATATATATATATATATATATATATATATATATATATATATATATATATATATATATATATATATATATATATATATAAAAGAGCGCCAATTTAAATGAGGAGCAGCTCGCACAGCTCCCCAAGTTCCTTTTAGGAGAACTTTTCTCCGCTCTCGTACTCATTTATTCCCGCCGAGGCCTGATATATATATATATATATATATATATATATATATATATATATATATATATATATATATATATTAAGTTATGTATTTATAAAAACTTTGAATTGATTATGCCAAATGGTATCTTGCCTTTATTTCAAATAATTTTCTTTTGTCTAATACAGAGGAAAATTAAAATTTTAAATTTGTAATTGTTTAAATTCGGTATTTATAAGTGATTTTATAAGCTTTATCTAAACTATAATTCCAAGTAGAGCAGCACAAGAAGATATAATATAAACTAGGGGACAAAGGTTAAAGTCCTCTGTTAACATTTGTTGGTTAATGAAAGAAGTCCTTCATCAAAAATTGTTACCTTGTTATTTGGCATATTGCTTTTGCTTTTTAATTTTATTTTTTGAACTCATAATTATTTTTTGATGATAATGGTGGTTAGAGTCAGCGTCCCTATATTGTAACTATCTATATATTTTGTTTTAAATTTACAAATAGTTACAATATAAAGATGTTTGTAATCTAGTTAACTTGATTGGAAACAACATTTGTGGAAAGAAAAATGTTTAATCATGTTATGCTGCAATGACATTCTAGACAATCAAATTTGATGTAGGTCACATGTATCATTAAATGATAGTCACACTCGATTTATGGGATGACCTAAATATAGGCCTTGTGCGGCTATGATAATTATACCACATAGGTGGTAGCCAAGTACAATGCACATGTGGCTATTATACTTATATTTTACCACTTAAGTATTAAAAATACCATAACCATATATAGCCCATATCTATGTCATCCCATAAATTGAGTGGCCATCCCATGTGGTGCCAATTATATTTTCTTGTCTGGTTTTTTAAAAACTTAATCAAATCAATTCATTATTATTGCTTTGTTTTAAAATTAACTTGAAAAATGTGTTTCAAGTTTTAATTAGTCACACTTGTTTTATAGAAAATTTTCTTTGATAAATTATAGAAATATAATATAAGAATTATAGAAATATAATATAAGATATTTAAATTTTTATTTTTATTTTTGTTTTGTTTTACATATTGTTCACTTAATTTTTACTAAAGTTAATTATAAACCAATATTGTTGCTTTTATGTTAATAATGCTTTATAAAAGTTCAACAAACCTATAATTTTGCTGTTTGCAATTTTATTTTATCTGCTTTCTTACTGATATTCTCACGATTATAATAGAAATCTGGTAAATAATTTTATTTGAATCCATTAAAAAATACAGTAATCAATGCAGTTTGCTATTGACTCAATGTAGATTTTAACTGAATTTACTGAATGTATTTGACAATGACAATGTCTGTTTTAGTATTCTTAGCAGGTATTTTCATGTCTTTTTACATGTGTACGTCCTGAATGTTGTTTTTGTTATTTCCACCATCATAAGGTATGTAAATGTTTTGTTTGTTTATTTTGTATTATGCGTTAGTGGTGTAATGATAAAATGTTTTTTTTTTGCATAAAAAAATGTGAACTTAAAAGCAAAAGTTAATGTTATTTTGAAAAATTGTTGTGAGTTATTTTGTGCATTTTTGTGAACCTTTTTTATAATATGGATGGCTTGTATGGATAAAATTTAGTGTGATTTGTTGAAGAAGTACTTACAGTGACTGACACTAAACCTCACCAAATGACAGATGTTTTTCCAGGTTTTAAAAAATAATGTGCAACTTTCTGGTTTGTAGATATTTATTTCATTTGTTGGCTCTTTTTATATGCATTATTTTGACTCGAATAAGTTTTAAGAATTATTTTAAATTTTTGTTTACTAACTATTTGATTTTATTATTTTGTACCATTGTGCTACTTCAGGTACACGCTTCTTGTTGGTCGTCCACCATTTGAAACGAGTTGTTTAAAAGATACATATATGCGGATTAGAAATAATGAATATGCAATTCCATCAAGAGTTACACGCCCAGCAGCAAAACTGATACAAAAACTTTTAAGTGAAAGGCCTGAAGATAGGCCAAGTTTAGAACGTGTGTTAAATGATGAATTTTTTACAAGGGGTTTTTTCCCAAAATCATTACCATCTATTTGCTGTGTTGCACCTCCTAAATTTACATCAATAAAAAATCGTAATAAGAAATGTGATTATGTGAACCATAATATTTATAAATCTAATAAAAATGAGGATAATGTTAGTTCTGTAAAAGATGCACTTTCAAAAATTAATATTCATGAACGACCTGATGAGGAGCAGCATGAAAGTGGAATTGATAGTCAAGATTCGAATGGTAATGAAGAAGAAGGTATCTTTCGAGTTGGTAGGGATATTTTTCATTTTAATTTAATATTGTTTGAAAATAATTTTGATAAAAAATTATTTTATATACCACTCTAATTTTTTTTATAGATGCTAATGATATCACCTATAGTTACAATAATCCTCAAAGTATGTGTGATCGACTAAGTAAATGCTTGAATACTGTGCCTGACTGCCACACAACTGCTTGTTCAGATCCAATTTCTACTGGTACCTCTGATTCTGAAGAGGACAGCATAAGTGAAGGAGTTGTAGAAAATAATCGCTTGTGGATTACTAAATGGGTAGATTATAGTAATAAATATGGATTTGGAGCTCAACTCTCTAATGGATGTATTGTAATTCGATATAATGATGGAACAACACTAGCAGTTGATGCCCATAAAAGGTAAGTTTGTTTCATGTAAATCTTTAGATATTTCGCTTTACTTTTGAGCTCAACGTTTATGGACTATTTTACAGGCGTTTACAGTACTTTGATGAAGAGAAGAACATATTCCGCTTCAGTGTAAACAATATTCCAGAAGATCTAAGTCGAAAAGTCACTTTATTAAACTATTTTGCAAACTATATGGATAAACATTTGCTAAAAGTAAGTGGCAATTTTTATCCATTTATAAATTATCATTTTATCATAAATCTAAATAAATGTTTTAAGTTAATTTACAAGCTTATAAATAGTTCAATTTAGTTTTGGTGTCAAAAAATTTAATAAACCGGTGTTCAAAAACTACATCATCCAATATTTTACTGATCCCGTACCCCTCTCGATACAACATAACTCTTTTGTAACACATTCTGTACAAGTTGTCCCAAAACCACTTACCATTTCCCCCTTTTCGTGATGTAATTTATGGATGATCTCTTTCATGATTTTGTTATCTTTTTATGTTTATCAGATTCCATTTTCACTACAATTATTTCATGAAGCAAGACTTTAATTAAGTGATTGCAAATCGCGATATCTGGAAATGCTTCCGGTCTTAAATTTTTAGTTATTTAAAAAACTGTTAACTTTGTTTTTATCACTAAACTCAGTAGTTGCTATTCAACAAAAAATACTTATATTGATCTTGAAATTATGATATAAAATCTTATTATAAAACCATATTATTTTTATTACTATTTTTATTATTAATAATTATGATTTAAACTTTGATATTTTAATTCATTTGATAAATCATCAGCAAAAACTAGAAAAATAAAACATTCAACACCATGTTATATTAAAAAACAACTGCAAACCACAATAGTCTAAAGGAATCTAATGGTAATCAAATATATTAAATAAAAGAAATTTCAAAATAAGATATAAAATACTTTTATACCTTATATAAATTTTTTTGATATTTTCTTATAAATCAAATACAACCGATCAATGATATGTATATAAAAATAATTAGAGTTTTAAAACATATAAAAGCTAGTTTAAACAAGTTATGTTTAATTAAATTAGCTTTTAAATTTAAAATTTTAAACTCTATAATAATTTTAAAATATATCTTTTTTATTATTGTTTTTATTATCAATAAAATAATTTCAACTCGTTTCTCTGCGCAGCGGCCTTGTTCTTCAAGGTTCGTGTTTCGGAGTATAGAGTTGAGAGAGGGTTATAGCCACAAAATAAGTAGCCTCCTCGTCTGTAGTGGCCTTCTAGGCCTTGAGGAGGTGAAGTAAAATAAAAAAAAAAAAAAAAATTCTAATTCAAAAAATTTAAATTTTTAAATAAATAACACGTCTTCACAGTTCCAATAATTTCATGTGTGCGCATATTTAATAGTACATCATGGTGCTTTATGAGCAGAATCACATAAAAACAAGTAAATACACATATAAATTAAGACAGTAACCTTGAAAAAAACAGTTGTTTAAATATGTTTTTTTTTTTTTATTTTTTCATAATAAAGACATTGATTTAGCTTTATTGAGGAATAAAAATGAGTTTTTGGGAAAGAAGAATCCAAAATGGTAATATTATTATTATTATTTTTGCAGTAGTAAGTTTATAGTTATGTTTTTTCATTAATTTTTGCAATATGATAAATTGGCCGTTTGATTAAAATAGTTTTCACTGTTTTTAATAAACTGAGAATTTGATGACCAGAAATATTTCTAGATATCGCAATTCACAATCATTTAATTCGAGCCTTGTAGCCTTGTTATAAATAAGATAAAAAACTTTAAACATTAAAATAAATGATTTTCTAAACAGAAATCTAAAAAAATGACCCTTACCCTAAAATAACATTGCCAAGGGAACCTGAATACACATTGATTACACCCTGACCTTAATCCTTAAGCAACAGGTTTTAACTTAAAGTATTAATATTAACACTATTTAATCACTTAAAATTTTGTTATGATCTAAAGCATCTTCATCTAGTATAATACAGAATACAAATAAACTACAATACCCTAACCAATCCTCTTAAAAAAAATATTCGTACAATACAGAACAAATCTTTTTAGTTGAATTGTTTGGCTTTGATTATATTGATATAATTTTTTATAAAATTTTTGAACTATTAATCAAATATTACTAGAAATAATTTCTATGCAGTGTTAATACACTTAAGAGTTTAATTTGTATTCTATAAAATATGTATTCTATAAAATAAAATTCTAGTTGTTGAGCATTCATGTAAGCAATCTAAAATCTGTTACTCTCTGAATCTTGCAAGTTTATGGATAAAATGTAACACCTTAAACTTTTTAACTTTTGCATATTGTAGTGACGGTTTTAACTGTTGCAAATTTTGTGCTTATTTCATTAGGATTTATTCTTTTAGTGTTTAAAACTTCACAGTAATAACAGGACTAGTTATAAGAAGTTATATTAAATTTAGCTATACGTAAAATTGTTACATTTTTTACAAGTATACATAAATATATAATAGTAAAAATACAATAAACAAAAGTATACATCAATACTCAGTGATGGATCCAGTAGTTTTTGGTGGTGGTGGTGTGTGTGTGTGTATGTGAGTGTGTGTGTGTGTGTGTGGGGGGGGGGGGGGGATGTTGAAATATTTTTGTATTTGGTACCACATTTGCGTCTCAAAAAAAAAAAAAAAAAATCTCCAATTTATTAGATTTTATAATATTCGGGGGGGGGGGGGGGTGAATACTACCCCGTACCCTGGATCCGTCACTGTCAATGCTAAAGTATAAATAAATATTTAAAGTTGTTACATCTTTTTACCAAAAAGGTGTAATAATTTTAAAAAAAGTACCAAAAAATAACTACGTGAAAAAGCTTTACCTATAATTTTATATGACAGGGCGGCGATTTAGACGATCCTTCAAAAACGCACGATGTATTTTCAGAAATGTCAGTTATAGATATTTGGTTTCGAACAGATAAAGCAATGGTTATGTATTTAAGTGATGGCACACTTCAAGTATGTTAAAATATAATTTTTTATTTTATAGGTAATAAGTTAAATTGAAAAACATTAACTCTTTTTGTGATATAACACATTTACAATACTTTTTTTAGGTAAACTTTCTAGCGGATCATACTAAAATTATTTTAAACCCTGAACTAAACAATGACATTGTAACATATATTAATCAAAGCCGTGAAAGCTACGTGACTACGTTAAACAATGTTTCAAAAAGAGGTTGTAGTGAAGAAATTAACGAACGTCTACAATACTGTTTAATGGTATTGCATAAATTAGGTGAAATGTATATAGATGATGCTATCAATTAATAATTCAAATTTTTAATGAAGTTCAAGTGAGCGGCACAAATTGAATACATCCTGTGACGATAAAGCTAAATCTAGTATCAAAATCTTCATAAAATTTATATCTTTTTTTACCGCATTTTTATTACAAGCTTCTTTCCCAAAGATATTCAGTAAAAATTCGTTTTATATATGTAACAGAAATTTGGGAAATCTTTTTACATAAACATCAAATACTCGCCATATTTATATACAAATATTTATTTTGAATCTTTTAGTTTTTTCTATTTGTAAATAGAATATATAGAATGTACAAATAAATTATTTATATCTAGAATTAATAAATTTACTAGCGTTTTTATAATACATTGTTTTCTCTTTTTTTTTTTTTTTTTTTTTTTTTTTTTTTTTTTTTGGGCGACAAATAAAATTGAGTTTAAAATAAACAAAGTTCGAAAATAAACAAATAGTCAAAATTCAAAATCATCTGAGAAAGAAAGCTATTGTCAATTTTTTTTTACGAAAAATCATTATTTCTTGACTTTCTATTGTTTTATCAGTCGATTTTTTATTTTGCTTTACCTTTTATTGGTCAGTTCTTTATTTTTTTTCATTTCCGTTCATTCATTTTACCGTTCGTTTCTTTGTTTATTTTAAGCATATTAGATAAATTAGTAGGAAATTCATTATGCATCTAAAAAATTCTGCTTAAGGTGGTACCCCAAAAAGTTAAAGTTAATTAAGAAAAAAAAAATTAATGAAATTTGTTTTATTATTCTTTTATTCTCAGGTTAAAAAAAACATAATTTAACATTTTAACATCAAGTTTTATTAATTTGGTTTATGTCTACCCATTAGGGCTGTCCAGAATAATTTCTGAACATTTATTATTACACAACCCAGAACATAGCCTAGTGAAGTTTTTCCCATTATACTATCAATTCTTTATTGAAAAACATTTTTTACATATTTATTTTAAGTCTTCTAGGGGTTGCTCAAAGCTCTTGAACATTTTAACTAAAATATAACAGAAAATGTATTAAAACGCTATCTTTTTTTTTTCTTACTTGGTCTTACTCAATTAAATTTATTAAAGTAATTATGGAAATTGTTGTTTTTTATATAGTAGTAATATGATGCACAACTTGTGCATGTTTGTTAACTTTCTACATATATTTTTGGAAAATAATTCAATATTTTCATAGTTTTTAAGGTCCAAAATGAGGAAAAATGTCGAAATTGTCACTTCAAGTTAGTAAGTTCAAGTTATTAGTTTCAAATGTTTAGTGTTTTTTTGTCAAAACTTGGAAACAGCTTCCGATGTTGTTCCACACCTTGCAATAGCCATGCTCTCTGTTGTTCATCTGTTGTTATTATTGTTGCAAAATCTGAGATTAGTTTGACGCCTCATTCGGCAGCATCGTTGACAACTTTTACTGTTCGAACAAACTTTTCAGCAACTTGGAAGTCTTCATCTGCTGCCCATTGATTGGCTTGCTAAACCATCACTGGTTTAGCAAGCCAATCTCTTCTGATGTTGAGATTCTGGAACAACAGATGTGACTCCGGTCCTAACAGACTCTTCAATGTTGTGTTGCGTTTGATTTGTCTGAAGATTGGTTTCGGAAGTTTTCAGGCACTGCTATTGTCCACAATTTGTTTGCCATTTCTTGCTTAACATGGTCACTCATTTTAGGATGATGACTAAATAAAGCAAAAGGAACAACTTCTTCAGTGAGGTACCATCAATGGTTGTTTAGTTTGGCTACCACAACATCTGCAATTTCTTTGTCTACATTGCTGAAATCCATCATGTCATGAATGAGTTCTAGATCGTTTACGGGAGCATCGGCTCCAATACTGGCTTGCATCCATGCTGAGGTGTAAAAAAGAGCCAAGAATCTGTTTGTACGTTCCAGTTTAATCACAGTTTCCTTGTCGTATTTCATTGCTTTTGAAAACATGAACATCTTCCCAGCATATATGTTGGAAGCCATCCAACTGTATGGCTTGATGTATGGCTCCAGGTTTGAGGAGATGGGTACCACGAGGTGGTGTTTCACCCAGAACAATAAGATTATTTTCTGCGCACTCTCGGTAGTCATCCCGAGGAAACACAGATGATTCCTTGCTATTGAGCAGCATTTTTAAATTTTCAATGACTCGTTCTTTAACTTCCAACAACCATGGATTTTCAATTTTCAGCAACTGGATAGGTGATTGCTTATCGAGACCTGACCATGCCTTTTTGAAGGTAGAAAACATTTTGTTTTCTGGTCGTCTGATTTCACTAAACAGTGCTTTCTAAACAGCGCTAGCTACAAGTTCAAGGATATGGTGACGACAAGCAAGATAAAATAGCTTTTTATCAGCAAGTTCTTCGATAAGTTTAGCTGCACCCTTATGGACCCCACTGTTGCTTGCTGTAGTATCAAATACCAAAGCGACAACTGATTCTTTTAATCCCCATGCTTCTAAGAGATCATATGAGGCATCAGCTTGAGTTTGTCTTTTAGAATCTCCTAGTTGTGGCACACCCAGCAATTTTCCCGATGAAAATTCTGGTGAACCTGACAGAAGAATTGCTAGACGTTCAAACTTATCACCAAGAGAGTCCTGCAGTAACTTTCCATCCCAGTGCATGGCACCAAATTGAGGTGGTTTTTCCTTTATTTTCTCCATTATGTTTTCTGCAATGTGCTGTCTGTTTGACATTCGCTTTCGACGCGTAGTTGAACGGAATACATCGAAGTCGTCTAGATTGCCACCCGCTGCTTTTATTATAGCTGAAACTATCATTGTAGTTTGATTGTCGGACAACTTTAACCGATCGGCTGCTGTCGTTAACTCGTCACATTCCATAATTTTTCTGGGAACTTGAAGTGAAACAAATTCTTGAAACTCTATTTTTTCAATAATGTGATCTGGCTCAAAATCCGGATCAATTTCCGTACAACCAACTTGTGCATCATCCTCGGACTCTTCAAAAAATTCATTTCCTTCTAGCTCTGTAGCTGCTCTTTTCTCTAGTCTTTCTGTTTCTTTTTCTTGTCGTTGTTGCTGCTGTTCAATTCTGGTCAGAAACTGTAAAGCCTTTGCTTCAAAAATTTTATCCTGGCCATTCATACTAGACTTTCTTTCATGTTTCTGATCAAGATAAAACGCAATGTCATCATCTTTGTGTTTCTGAAATAGAAGTCTAGATTTTCTTATGTCATCAATTGCATCTGGAGCACCAATGTGGAAAAGCATATCAAGCTCTGAGATGAAGTTTTCTCGTTTGTTACCAGGGTCGGTGGCACAACTTCTATTTTTTTTTAAACTGGTCTATTCATTCCATAATCCAAGAACATCAAACATACAGTTTTGTCTTACTTTGGTTTTGATGCGAGCCATGTGCCAAAAATCTGCAACACTGTCTGCAACGATGTAAGAAATTTCTTCATTCTTAACACTGTTACCAACGCTATCAGGATCATGTCTCAGATATAAAACATACTTCATCACCTTTCTGCGTGTAGGTAACTTTGCTCCTGTAATTGATGAACATGGCTGACCAATCAACCAAAAATTTGTACTAGTTCTAGTGGTAGGTTTTGAAGATGACGGAGTTGCGGGAACACTCGAAGGTAATGGCGAAGACGGTATAATTGGGTTTGTCACTTTTAATTCTTTTCCACTCCTAGTCAACATTTTCTATTTTTTCTAAACAAAAAAAATTGTATGTACCCAATCATAGCATGCAGGTAAAATAAATAACTATTATAACAAAAACATTATTTCCTATGTGTTTTAGAAAATGACATACAATTTGTTTGATTTGGGTCAAATTTGGGTCAAAATTGGGTCAAATTTGTGTAAAATTTCAAACAAAAATACTCACAATAACTTAAATAATCATCAACTTATCAATTGGCATCCATAACTTAATTAATCAATAACTTAAATTGATCAATTTCAACATTTTTCAACAGTTATACTAAAAATAACATTGCGCTTTTGTACATTTTCTGTTAAAATTTACTTAAAATGTTCAAGAGCTTTGAGCAACCCGTAGAAGACTTTAAATAAATCTGTAAAAAATGTTTTTCAATAAAGCATTGATAGTATAATGGGAAAAACTTCACTAGGCTATGTTCTGGGTTGTGTAATAATTTCTGGACAGCCCTACTACCCATGGAGGTATAGAATAGATGAAAGTTCAACCGCATTGAAACTCTGCGGGACTATGCTTGTAACCTTTTGTTTAGTAAACAATTAGAAAACGACATCAAGACTGTACTTAAACGCTTAATTTTTATACCTTGACGCAAATAGGTACGTTTATAATAATTTAAAAATATAGTATTTTGAAGGTTCGCCAATAATATTCTAGAAAAACATTTAAAATAGCGCAACGTAACGGCAAACAACAACTTTTTTATAAACTTCATATTAAATGAATGGAGTACTACAAGAATGAATGGAATTATGATATACAGCTAATAAAGCTTTTTTTTGATTTTTTAAAAATAGTTTTAGTTGTCTTTTTTATCAAATGTCGTGACTTTTTTTATCAAATGTTATGACTTGAAGCAAGAAAAGAAGCTTAAACTAACATATGCTTTTAAAATCAAGTGGTTCTATTTAATTACCGAGTTTTTTTTTTTTTTTTTTTTTTTTTTTTTTTTTTTACATCTTCACTTCCAACAAGGCTGCAAGCAACCACTATAAGAGTTGGAAGTTACTGGAAGAGAAAAGACTAAATCTGTAGAGCAAGATAACGATTGACTGATGACTTAAAAGATTGCAAATTATATGAATCAGGAAAGCAAGATGAAGGAAGCGAATTCCAAAGAACTGATGTTCGAGGAAAAAAACTAGAAGAATAAGAGTTTTTGAAGCACTTAGGAACAGTCACAGAAAAAGGATGAGGCTTAATTGAATGGCGAGTAACACGAGAATGAATTTTAGTAGAAAAGAGAAAAAGAAGCAACATTACGACGATGTGACAAAGGTTGGAGATTGGCTGCCAGAGCAGGTCCAACTATGTTTACAATTCGTTTTTGCACCTTGTCTAAAAGAGAAAGAGCATCATTAGAAGATCCGCCCCAGATGTGGCAACAGTATTCCATACAGGGACGGATTTGAGATTTATAGAGATAGATAATAGAATCTGGAGTAAGAAAGTGTCGAGCTCGATAAAGAGATGCAACCTTAGCAGATGCTAATTTTGCAATGGATTTGATATACGGTTTAAAAGAAAGATCAGAAGTAAGAGTTAATCCTAGAAGATGAATGGTAGATGACTCATCTAGTACATTACCATTCATAAATATAGGAAGATCTAAATTATTACGATAACGATTGGCCGAATAAAATTGAGTTTTATCTGAATTAAAGTTCACCAGCCACTGTGAGCCCCATGCTGTAGCAGAAGTGAGATCCTTTTCAAGCTCAGATACCCCCTCCAAGCAATATGAGAGTGTAGGCTTCTTATCATGACAAGAGTAAATGGTAGTGTCGTCAGCGAATAATGCCACCTTAGATGTGAGAATATCTGGAAGATCGTTAATGTAAATTAAAAAGAGTATAGGGCCAAGGATTGAACCTTGAGGAACCCCTGAAGTTACAGGATGTGAAGAAGAGTGTTGTCCATTGAGGACAACTTTTATACTACGATTGGAAAGAAAGGACTCAATAATCTTAAAGACGTTACCAGCTACACCATAAGAAGAAAGCTTATGGAGAAGACCAGCATGCCAAACTTTATCAAAAGCTTTAGAAATGTCAAGTGCGATAGCCTTAACCTCTCCACCTCTATCTAATGCACGGTAAAACCTATCGGTTATTACTGTTAGCTCATCAGCTGTAGAACGAGAAGACCGAAATCCATATTGATGATCAGAAAGTAAGTTATTTGATTCAAGATGAGAGATTAAGTGTTTGTTGATTAAAGATTCAAAAACCTTGCTTATGACAGGAAGAAGACTAATGGGGCGGTAGTTAGATGAATCAGATTGCTCTCCGGAATTTTTGAAAATAGGGATAACAGATGCTGCTTTCCAGCATGATGGAAAACAAGACTCTGATAAGCACTTGTTAAATAGTTTAAAAAGTATGGACGAAAGCTCCGGAGAACACCTCTGCAAGACTACAACAGGAATGTTGTCAGGACCACAAGCTGTTGAAGAGTCTAAGCAGGAAATTACTTTAGATACAGAAGCTGAAGTGATGCGAATGTCATACAAGGGATCAACCTGATTGACGGCTATGTCAGGTAAAACGCAACTAGTGGAATCAAGAGATGATATTGATGAAAAGTTCTTTGCAAACAATTCAGCTTTGTCTTTTGGTGAGGTGACAAAGTCTGAACCATACAAGAGAGAAGGAATAACAGATTTGCCCTTATTATTGATACTGTTAAAGATTCTCCAGAAGTCTCGAGAGCCTAATTTTTGTGATGAGATACGAGATTTAATGACCTGGGAATAGCGAGCTTTGGCGTCAGACAAAACCTTTTTACAATGGTTTCTGGCGATAGTGAACAGATGTCTGTTTTCTGGAGAATTGTTTTGCTGATAGATATGGAAGTAACGGTTTCGATTAGAAATTGCTGCAGCGCAATGTGAGGAAAACCAAGGAGAAGAGTGAGGCTTGACCTGGAATCGTCGAGAGGGAATAAAAGATTCCATGCCAGCCTGAATCCACGAAGTTATGTAAGAAGCACATTTGTCAGCAGGAAGATGAAAGATTTCTACCCAAGGGCCATCACGAAGAAAATCACGGAAAGAGTCCCAGTCAGCTTTAAGGTAGTTGTATGTGGTACGATGATAGGGGGATTCTGATGAAGTAGAAGAATTTGATAATAGTTTTAGAGAGATCAAACCGTGATCAGAAGTACCTAAGGGTGAATGTGGAGAAATTGAGCACTGACTAGGATCCAAAACAAGACATAAGTCGAGTAGAGAAGGTAAATGATTAGGGTTGTCTGGAAAACGAGTTGGAAAGTTGACTATTTGAGTTAGAGATTGAGAAAGGCAAAAGTTGAGGGCCTTAACGCCAGCAGAGTCACTGACACTAGAGCCAAGCCAATTGGTGTGATGGGCATTAAAGTCACCAACAACGACGATATTGGCAGATGGATAAAGAGAGAGGGCTTGGTCAATTTGATCAGAAATAACATCAAGAATAGTGCAATCTTGGGATGAAGGAGAGCGATATAGAACAAAGAGAAAGGCGATAGAGTAAAGTTGTGCTAAACGAAAGCACATAAATGAATAGTCTGGAGATTCAAACCTAGTTTCACGACAAATGGGTGAGTTCTTACGAATGTAGATGCCCAGGCCAAGCATGTGATTATTGGAGTCTTTACGAATTAAAGGAAGATAACCATCAACACTAAGATCACAAGATGGGACAGCCGAACTCAAATTAGTCTCACAAAGAGCAAGTAGGTCTGGTGAACTTTGCAAGAGATAAGACTCAACAGAAGAAAAGTTACTTCGAAGACCACGAATATTAGTAAATGATAGGTTTAGAGAACTTGGTGATGACGATGGTTTTTTGTGTTTATTAGTTTTAGGTACTTTAGTCATTTTAAATTTATAAAGAACTTGACTCAAGTATAGATAGTACTCAGTACACTATTTAACAACTAAGCAATAGCCTCAATACTATTAATAAACCCTAAGCCGTAGCAAAGGGCTCCAAATGTGGCCTCTGCAATGCACACCAAAAGTACAAACAGGGACACCATCCATGCGCAACATGGCACTTTTAGTACTCTGATATTTTTCGGCTGTTGATGGAATCAGCCTCTCTGAGAGCTACCACAGAGTTCGGGAAACCTGACTACCAGCCGGCCTCAGAACCATAAAACTGAGTTTTAGAGCTGTACCCTCATTAGGAGATAATAGAATGAGTTGCCCAGTCATAAAAATAGAGACACAAACAATACCCACGCATTGAGTCAAGAAGATCCAGCGTTCAACATCCTAAACTGGAAACAATGTATTAAAAATACATCATATTTTATAAACCTTTTGCTGAATAATTGGTAATGGTTAAACTTAAAACTAATGGTTAAAACTTTGCAGCATATCCCTGGAATAATTCATTTTTTGATGTTTTAATAAAAATTATTTTAGTGAATTTTGTTGTTTTTTTGTCCAGTAAAATTTGTTTTTTTTTATTGTCGGTTTCAAGCATACTCCGAGACGACTTGAAATTGCTCAGATGTTTGCGGTTCGATGAACTCTCGTCTGTTTTTTTTTTAAATCGAGCTGTTTTTCTGTAACAACGCCTTAGCAACCGATATATATAAAAAAAGCATTTGTAATGTCTGCGAAATAATTACTTTTAAAATAATCATGCAAATCAGCTGAAATTTTGACATTTTGTTTTTCATAGTAATAAAATTCATTTGAGAAAAGGTGTTTGTTCAACGCATGAAATGAATTGAAATTTTATTTTCTTGTTTGGCTCGCCTAATTTTTTTAGTTTCTTTTTTATGCGTCATTTCTAAAATATTCTTTTATTCTTATTTATTTTCTCTCAAATGAATTTTGTTACTTTGTTTAAAATATGTTTCAAATTTCATGTAAAAATGACGGTATATTTTGAGTATTTATATCACAAAAATTTGGTTATTTAACTAATAGTTTTAATATTTATTACTTGTTAATCAAATTTCACTTGGTTTTTTTCGGATTATATGCATGATAAAAAATCTCTATATATTACTGCCAAACTTAATTAGTAGTGCCCCTTCGAGCGTTGTTGACACAAAACCCTTGGCGGCCATTGCAACCGAGGTAGTAGCAAGAAAGAGTCGCAGTACTTTTATTAAAAGAAAACGTGAACAAAAGTGTATGCAAATATCTTACTTATGTAAACTTGAAATTATGTAATGTTAAAACATAATGAAACATGTATCAAGTTTTACAGTTTGACTTTTACTTGAAAACTGCATTGCGGCAACATCTGCTTAATTTTGATCTATAGCATTTATTTCCGTTAAAAAAATTATTATAATGCTTTAAAAATTTTTGTTTATCAATGTGCCAGCGTGGTCGTATTTTACAGACCCGTATTTTACAGATCCGGAAGCTAGAATATATAAAGAAAAAGTATAGAAAAGTTCGGTTTGGAATAAACTTAAAAAGACCCGTATTTTTACGGGTCCGATCTCAGCTAGAAAATCATTAAAACATAAATATTATAGTGAGTGATGATTTCTTAACAAAATATCGTAATTCTACAAAATCTGAAACAAAAGGTAAACTAATTTGGCAATTTTATTAAAACAAGATGGGCATGGATCTATGATTACAATTTTTTTTAAATTTATCGAAACTCTACTCTCTATCTTTGATTCTTGGATTGTGAGGTAACAGGACGCTTCCTTATTAAATGCTATTCTGGAGCGCTCTGTGCCAAGATCAATAGATCTTTTTGGAGTACTTTATTTTGAAAAAACAAAAATGTTACCTATTTTTTTTTTTTTCAATAAAGCTGACTTTATTTTAAAAACTAAAAATAATTTGTTGAACAAAACAAGACAAACAAACTAAAAAAAAAAAATCAATTAAAAATAATTTGTTGAATAAAAAGTTTAAAATACATTATAACACTATAATACATTATAAGTTTTCTTTTTCTAGAAACTTTATTAAATTAGGTCATTTATTGTATTATAAAAGTATTTAATTTGCTTAAAGTATTAATATATATTTAATAATAATACATAAGTAAGAACAGGCTACAATAGACGTTTATTAAAGTTAATGATGTGTTATCGAAGACCTTGATTTCTAGATTACAAAAATAGCATTATAATTATCATTGTTATAAGTCAAACATTTTTAACTAAAGATAAATAGACGCCAAAATTAAAAAAAAAAATTGTTACTTAAAAAATAGCAAATAAGAAATTGATAAAATCACTTAGAAACGCTAAATTAAACCTAACTTAAATTAACATGAAGTTATTAATGTTATTATTTAGATAAATGTCATTATTATACAATAAATTAAATGTCATTATATTATATGGTGAATTAAATGTCATTATATTAAACGATAAATAAAATGTCATTATATTGGAAGATACTTTATTCATACTTGAAAAAGTTTTTGCAATACTTCACGATTATCTCAAAATTGATTTGGCACTGTAAACTACAAGTAGTATACCTCCAATTAGAATAATTAATAACAACAGGATAATGCACATTATAATGCAACATTTTTTGTTTTTTTTTCCTCGATAGCTTTTGTTTTTTCTTTCATTGTTTGGTCTTCCATCTTTTTGAGTAGACGTTTCTCTATCGACATTCTAAATAAAATCGCTGTTAAACTAAAATAAATAAATGTAAAACAAAGTCAAAATTGTTATTTAATATTAGTCTTACAAATGATAGTCTAATAGAGATCTAAAATAAATAAAAAAAATAAACTAAATTATCTAAGTAATTAAGTCAGATTTTTAGTAGAAACAAAAAAACATTTTACCAAGGATTAAATTTTTAAAACAACTTCAAAAACTTTCTTTAGTTATACAAGCTGAGAGTAAAAAATTCTGTAGAAAACTGGAGTATATTTCAAAGTTTATATGAGCTAACCGGAATATATTCAAAATTTTATATGAGCTAACCGGAGTATATTTAAAAATTTTATATGAGCTAACAGTTATAGATTTACATTTTTAAAAAAAGCTCCTGTTTTTAAGCAGTTTTAACATGAACTTATGCATTCAAACTAAAAGTAAGTTCCAACACAAACTTTTGTTTTATAAATAGCTCTGGATTTTGGATTGCATTATTGACGTTAAGATTTTTGGTTTGAATTACTGATGTTAAAAATTTTGGATTGCATTACTGACGTTAAGGTTTTTAAAATTGTCATAAAAATTGTCTCATCTTTTTAAAAAATATCTTTTCCTCAGCTTGATATACCGATAACTTAATTAGTTATATTTATAAACACTGTTTTTTGTACTTCATCAAAATTTCTGGAGTAAGTTGGTATTTTATGTTCCAAGACATAATGCAATTAGAACGTACACCACACAGATACACAATTAGAACAAACACCACACTCTTCTTTGAATTAAGTGTTTACAACTGATAAATTAATATTTATTAATCATTTAGAACCTTCCATCAGAATTTTATTGCAGTTAAGACCATTTTTTGTTTTGATACAAAAAAATCATCTTTTTTAAATTTTTTGCAATTCCTAAAGAATTCGTTTCAGCCTTGTCATTTTTTAAGCATAATATGTTCAAATTTACTTACCTTAACGTAACGTTCAATTTTACTTACCTTAACGTAACGTTCAATTTTACTTACCTTAACGTAACGTTCAATTTTACTTACCTTAACGTAACACAAATCTGAAAGTATGAGGACTTTTTTTGCAACTTTATTTGTTTCATCTTGTTTTTGCATTTCACATGTTAGCGGTAGAGTTTTTTGCTTGAGTTTATAATAACTTTCTTTTCTACAGTTGATTGTTAATTTCTTTTCTTAGTTTACAACCATTGATTGTTAATTCCAAAAAGTCATTCTACATCTACCTCTTTAATAAAAACTTCAATAATACAAAAAGTACATAGAAAGGAATAAAAGAAATCATTAACATCGAAGCAAACAAATCTTACATCAAATCTAATAGTAACACTACCTAAGAAAGTATGGCTGTTGCTAACATATTTAACAACTATTATAAAAATACCCTTAGTAAGTCAACCCTTAAGTATGACAATTATTTTTCAGAATATTTAAAGAATTCTATTTTTTTATCACCAGTAACTGAGAAAGAAGTGTCTGATTTATTCTGAAAAAGAATAAAGCTTTATACCCAAATAGTGTTTCCACGTGTCTTCTTTAACTTATTCCTTGCGTCATTTACAAGCCTCCCTCTTTATTAGATTCTGTTCCTACTGAGTCTCTAATAGACGACACTCAGTATCGATCAATTTTTCTTCTGTCTAAAGTTAGTAAAATATATGAAAAAACCATTGCACAACAGGCTTTATAACTTTTTCGAGAAAAATGTCTCTACAAGCATCAGTGTGATTTTTGCAGCAAACATTTCACAACTCATTCACTTATTAAAATAACTAAGACTGTTAGAAAAGCTCTAGACAATAAACTTTTTGCATGTGGTATGTTTCTTTACTTAAAGAAGTCATTTGACTCTCTAAGTCAAGAAACATATTTGATTTAAAGAGTCAAATGACTTCTTTAAGTCAAGTATGCTTCTTGACTTAGAGAGTTACACTTACTACGAATTTGTTGAGCACTCCATCCTCTTAAGTAAATTGAAACAATGTAATATTTGAGGTATTGCTCTCTCAAACGGTTATCATCATATCTTCTTAATAGATTGCAATTGGTCTCTGCCAATAAAATGGTCCATGTAATAGTAATCTTTTTGTTACTTCTAAAGTAGTGACTGCAAACAACCTCTAGTTTGATCTATAAATGATTTTTGGTATGACCAACAACACGTAAAAAATTCTATATACCAAATATTGCATTTTGAAAAAAAAAATTTTTTGAAGTCAAAGTTTTTTTACAAATAAGATTTTATTAACCCTTTATGGGCCAGTGATGCCGTAAGGTGTCATTGACTGTAAGAATTCCTCTATAATTTAATAAAGCCTATAAGAAGGAGAATGCTTTTGTTTGTTATTTAACACCAAGGTGTACATACACTAAAACTATCCATAAAGGTAGAACGTACTTTGTAAAAAGTAAACACGAGGTTTAATATAGTAGTAGAGTAATGTAAAACCTCAAATATCATTTTTATTTTTTTATTTTGTGTCAAAATAACCCATTTATACAATACTTTAATGAACGATATTAAAAATACAAATTATAAAGATTTATTTGAGGGTATATTAGTTTAGAAAGTGATCAGTATTTTGTATACTATAAATTTAAAAATATAAATGATGCCATATGACATCATTGGCTCGAACGAGTTGTATTTATGATATATCTAATAGAAATTATTAGTTTCATTTAATAAGGTATTTTCTTTTTAATTTGACTAGTTAATAAATGTAAACTTTTATAACAGTGATTACGATAAAAGAAGAAATGAATTCAGATAACCTTAAGAGTTTAAATGAACATCAGTTTAAGAAAATAAGCTCATCTCTACAATACTGAAACAAAACTTACATATCAGTTAAAATATTTTCAAACAGATGAGACATTCTAAATTACATAAACTGCAAAAGTTGGTGTTTTACAAGTAATAAGATATTTACTGAATGAAGTTAGTAAAGCAAAAAGATTGTTTTATTTTGTAAAATTATTTCAAAAAATAGAATTTTTGTAATTGACGGTGCTTCTGATCTACATTTAGACGTTTAACGTCAATGGTGCAACCAAAATAATAACCTCTCTGAGACACCATACTTATGATAGAAGACTGGAAGAAGTTGGATTGACAACTTTTAAAGGAATGGGAAACAGATAAAATAATCTGGTAAATCAATCAAAGCCTAGAAAAAATAAATTTTTAAGTCACACAGTGTTATCACCACAATGTTATCCCCGCCTAAGACGGAACCACACATATATATTTCAATCACAACCAGTCACAAGTTGTATCGAGAGACTTTTTTATAATTTTCGCTTGTGCACCACAGAATACGCTTCCTAGCAATACACTTCCTAGCAACATCGTTGACTCGAAATCGATCAGCTTTTTCAAACCTTGATTACAATACCAGCCCATTTACAAATAAGGCAATTACACAAATCAAACATAGCAAGGTTTTGGGCTAAGCTTTGTCAAAAGTTAACCAAATATAAAGTTTTCTAAATAATAATAATGTATTAACATCTTACAATATTATTGATTACTTAATTAAACTAAACAAGTATGAAACTTTCAATATTTTTGACGTTATATGCATAACAGAAACTTGGTTTAATTATAACGTGGCCAATTTAAACTAAAATTTACTTTTGCCTGGTTTTACAATAATTCCGCTAGAGCAAGAAACAGAAATAAAACTTGGAGGAGGTGTTTTTTTTTACATTTTTTAAAATATGCTTTTTATTATGACTTTACTTAACTATTACTGACGGTGACAATCGAAATATGAACCAAAAAAAGTAACATAATACTTTTAAGTTACTGTTATCGCCCACCATCTGAAATAATTGAATGTTTTGATACTTAAAAAAAACAGTTTTAAAAAAAAGGTAACCACGGAAACAAACAAAATTATTTAATCGGTAATTTTAATTTGTATTGTTTGCAGTACCGCGTCAAACACTTATTACGGACTTGTTTGAAAACGGAGCATTTCCGCTCAAAAATAAACTGACAGGATTTACTGAATTAACAATTTAATTAATTGATGTTATAAGAAAGGTATTTTTAATCTGTCTCTTGAAAAAAGAATTATTAAAAGCTATGTCTCTAACCATTTTCTTTTCTTTTCTTCATAATTGTAGACTCTTAAGTAACACCAAATCAATATATATATATATATATATATATATATATATATATATATATATATATATATATATATATATATATATATATATATATATATATATATATAATCACATTTAAAATACAGCAAATTTATCATCGCTTGCTCCATAGGCAACGTACAAACCACTTAGATGACGTAAACCTCACAAGGAGACACCACATCGTAAATTTAAAGAAAAAATTTCAAAAATTATTAGAGCACTTTACAAATCAAAAAGTTATTTAAATATGCGTGGCTTAATACGCGTAGCTTAACTGTGTTTTTCTCTTATTCATTGTCATGTTAACCATATATATATAAACAAATTACAGATGAGTTTTACTTGATAAATATCAATAAATAAAATATTTTAAAAACAGACGGGGACTCAAAGAAGATATGGATGATGCAATATCACCTCAATCTTTTCATAGAGCCTCCTCTCCCCCCCCCCCTCATAATAATAAAATATTTTCAAGAGTTATAAAAGTCTATTAAAAATATAAAAGTAATAAAATAAATTAATATAAAATAAACTGAAGATATAATAAGAAACAATTTTTTTTTACAATTACAAAGATATTTTGCAATAACTATATTGCAAATTTAGGTATTCAGAGATTTAGAAATATATACAAACATATACACAAAGATTTAATAATTAATACATTAAAAGACACATATATCATTAGTAACAACTAAGTATAATAAGTAAAATTCATTTGAATAAATTTACAAAATTGTTTTGGAATTATTATTCCGCAAAATTAAAAATATGTTTTTTTGCTTGAAACTTAAATGAGTTCAATGGTTTTACCATGTTTGCATTATTTTTTTGAAAAGAATTCCATAACTTAGGCCCTCAATATGCTAGTAAATATTCTGTCTATTTAGTTAATTTTCTTGGCAGTTTGAAAAAATTTGATTGGTTCTTAAGAAGTACTTTTCATTTACATTTTTCTCAAACTTGCAAATAAATTAGCTGGAGTTAGGTCGTTAATATATTTATACATGAAAGTTAGGTGCTGATAAAAATTTATTTCGTATACATTCATCATTTTCATATTTCTTATTAAGGGTATGCTCCCCTTCTTTTTTCCGTAAATAATTCTACACGCACGTTTTTGCAAACTAAGTCTTTTTTTAAGTTTTGATGATTGTGTACTACTCCATGTAAAATTAGCATAGTTAAGGCAACAATGAACTAAAGAAAAGTATATCAACTTTAAACAAACTGTATTTACATATGGACGATAAACAAATATATATAAATATATCTCTCTATATATAATATACAAATATATTTTTTACGTTATTTATGTCTTATAAATAATCTTATATTATTATTTATATAATTATTAAAACTGTTTTTTTATAAATCAAATGTTAATTCCAACTTTATTAGATAAAGTCGAACTTAGAAAACAATTTTAAAAATTGTATAAAAAGAAATAATAAGCTTAAATATATCAAAATTATGAACATAAAAACGGGAGGTAGAACATTCTTATTCTCACATCACAATAAGCTATTTTATTTTACCAACCAATATTGTATACAATCATATCAAATTATATACAATCTATAGCTGTTCTCAGAATTCTTAAACGCACATTTATACATTCGACTCTTGAAATATTCCGTTTTCTTTACTGCTCTTATCTAAGGCCTTTTGAGTATTGCTTAGCAGCATGGGGATTTTTTTAAGTGATAATATAAACGCTCTTGAAGCTGTTTAAAATTGAACCACAAAACTTGTTCCTTTTTTTCGTACCATAAAAGCTAAGGACCGCTGCTCGGCTATCGGTAGCCAATCACTTAAAAATTAACGTTGCCGAAGCAATCTTATACAATATTTTAAGGCTTACAGCAACATAAGCAAAGTCAAATGGATCAAATCACCATCTCCAGCTCATGCACTGGCGCATTCTGGCAGCCGATTGGAGTGCGCTACCACCTGATCTCCTAATCTTCAATAATGTGCTAGAAATCGTCAACATTTGCACTTTCAAAAAGAAGCTTGACAGATTTTTTGTCTCACTTCCAAAAAAAACTATGTGATGGGTACTCTATTTTTTTTTCTTTTTTTGTTATTTAGGTGCCCCAAGAAGACCTAACGGTCTTGTCACAGAGCACCGCGGAAGTGTATTTAACCAGGAAGTTCACGCCTCCTTCCTTACCGTGACGCGAAAATATGTCCAGAGCTCGTTTTGAGCCTGGATCTCCTGCTTATAAAGCAGGCGCTGTAACCACTGCGCCACTGCCGCACATAAAAACTAGGCGCTTTTTTGTTGTTGTTGTTGTAGTTGCAATAACATGCCCATTATGCTCATTCTCTTCAAATAAAACTAAACAAAAAAACGTTTTTCGATTGGGATTGTACCGATTATTTTATTTTTATTTATTTTTGTTTGGTAATCCTTTATACTGAACCTAACATTGCAGGGGTTGGTTGCTTTCCCAGTTTCACGCAATTTTTCATTGCATATTAAATTTAATAATAAAAAATAATATTGCTTATCATAAATGATAATACAAAATGCGTGATCTAATCATTCAATTTAAAAAACTTTATTTCTTATTTTTATAGTTAATTTAACTAATTTAATTTAAGAGAATATAATAAATCATAACAAAATGGAGATTATTCAAAGTGAAATATAATAAAGACTTATTACCTTTTGCTGTGAAAGGAACTTTTTCATAAAAAAAAAAAAAAAAAAAAAAATTTAAAAAATGACGGATAAAGTAACGAGATAACTGAGGTTTAATTAATTAAACAAAAGATTTTGTAATTAAACTGAATTTTAATTAACTAAACCGAGGTTTGACTAACTACACTGAGGTTTAACAAATTAAACAAATGGTTAATTAATTAAACTGAATTTTTATTAACTAAACCGAGGTTTAGTTAACTAAACTGACATTTAATTTATTAAACAGAGGATTAACTAAATTTTAGTTGTGTAACCTTGTATTTTAGTTGTATACCTTGTATTTTTAGTTGTATACCTTGTGTACCTTGTATTTTAGTTGTAACCTTGTATTTTAGTAAATTTTAGTTGTGTAACCTAAATTTTAGTTGTGTAACCTTGTGTAAAGTTTAATTAACAAAACTAAAGTCTAGTTTACCAAAAGAGGGTTGATAAATTAAACAGAGAATTAATCAATAAAAGATTAATTAAGTAAATAGAGGTTTGATAATATAAATCGAGATTTAATTAAGTAAACCGAGCTTTTAATTGAGTAAACATAGGTTTATTTATGTAAACCGAGCTTTAATTAAGCAAACATAAGTTTAATTATGTAAACCAAAATATAACTAAGTAAACCTATCTTTAGTTAACTAAACCGAAATTAAACTAATTAAACCAAGTTCCAATTCAAATAACCGACGTAAAATTAAATTAATCAAGGTTTAATTCATTAAACCAAAGACTAATGGTAAATTACCATTTACCATTTATTTAAATATTTTAAAATTTTTAACATAATTTTTTTTTATATTTTTTTAACTTACCTCATCTTCCTCCTCGATGTAAACCTTTTTTTCATAAGCAGGTGGTTTAATAGATAATGCAGTATATGGTGGCAAAACATCATCAGCTGGAGTTATTGAAACTCTATATTGACGACTTTTTGCTCTGTATCTGCCATCATTAGAAGTTGTTGTATAAAACGTTATTCCATCTGCTTCGGTATTTTGTTGATTTATAGTAGTAACAGAAGAATTTCCTTTAATTACTAATGAAGTTACACTGTTTCTAGCTTGAATTTTAGTAGAATTTTGCAAAACCGTAAATTGCACCGGAGTATATCCATTATTTATTGTGTACAATCCACTTTCCATTTCGGTGTACCCATTATTATTAACTCCCAAATCATCCTCAGGAATCATCTGCATTTTTACAAAGTGTTATTTATAAGCGCTAACAACTTTGAATAAGCTTCTCGGGAAACAACTCAACTAGACAAATTTTTTTGTTTTTAACAGTAGGAGCAATATTTTGACAGCTTTAAAAGTCACATACTATGTAATTAACGCGTCATAGTATAATATGATTTAGTTATAAATTTTCTCTATAAAATAACATGATATTGTTCGGTGATAATTTTTCTCTATAGTGATATAAAAAGTAATTTTAAAATGGTATACTTATTAAACAAAAAGTTGAAAAAAATCAATTGAAAAAATATTGAAATAAAATGGTATCTGAGCAACAATAATCACTAAGCGTCAAAAAAAATATATTGCAAATTTGTAACTGTTATAACACGGACGGATATAGCATTTGAAAAAAATAATCAATTTTTTCAAACAAAACTCCCCCTCTAGCCAATTGGACGTAAAAATATTTTTAATTCTGGAGAATTGGAAATGATAATCAAGGACCATTTTTTATAACGTTGTCGTAAAAAAAAAGTTAAGAATATTGTAAGCCGATTTTGAGCATTTGCGCATGTACTTTTTTGTCGTAACTTTTATTTTATCTATTTTTATCAATTATCGACAGCGACCATTTCTATACTTATTCCTTACTTCAATATTTTGTAGAAAGTGGTAGAAAATATTTATATATATAGAATAACTATACATATTGTCTACATTTAAAAGTTATGGGGAAAAAAAAATAATTATAAGATAAACTTTAAAAAAAATTTATACGCTGCGCTATTTATTAGCTGTTCAAATATTAGTACCAGTCTAAAGAATATTTAGAATACCAGCTTCAAACGTGTTGATTACAATCGATATAAAAAGTATAAAAAGCATGTAGAATAATGGACCATGACCCATATAATACGGGTCATGGTAAGTCAATTCCATACCAAACAATTCAATAAATATTCTTTATTATCAATAATTTTTTTCTAAGAGGTAGAAAAAATAAATCTTTTAAATCTTTTTTTTGAGTTTGACTTTTTTTTGACTTATAACTTTTTATTATAAAATTGTAAACTTCTATAAAAAAAAAAATAAAAAACGAGAACAAGCTTATTATTTTTATTTCCTCATTGAGAATTTTTTTTCTTTATTAATTTCACAATTAATAAAAATTTTCTTAATTCTTTAGAGTTTTTTCAGTTCTTAAGAACTTTTTTAATTCTTAAGAAATTTAATTTAACTTTCGAACAAGTTTTTATTAAACTTTATATTTCAGACCATCCGCAGCTTATTAGGACCCTCGCCCTTTTAATTAATTTTGAAGAAAATAGAAAAAGAAAAGTTTGAAAGTAAAATCTTTTTTCCTTTAAGGAAAGAAACCTAATTTTCTAATATGTGTCATACGTGCAGACTTAACAAATAACTTATGCACATTAATAACATAAATATCTCTATTATGACTTATGCGCAACAAATTTCTCCCGATGTTTTAATGTTTTTTTAAAATTTAAGTTTGTTAAATATTTTTAAACAACAAACTATTTTATTTATAATAGATTATAATATCTAATACATGTTATATATATAATATCAATAGCACTTTAAAAATGTTTTATTTTGTATTTTAAAAAGGTTAAAAGGATTTGAAAAAAAAAAAAAAAAAAAAATTAAGGTGTAATAGCCGTCATGAGTTCCGTGTCAAACACGCACAAATGAGTAACTGCAGCAGCAGCGGCAGCATTAAGTTCAATATTAATGTATAACAGAATAACAGATAACAGGTTAGTTATTTAGATGCTCCAATTAGTTCTAATGGTCTTATCACAGACCACCGCAGAAATAGTATAACTAATAGCATTTAAGGAGATTTAGGCCTCCTTTTTTTTTTTTTTTTTTTACCAATGATGCATATATGGTCAGAGCCGGTTTTGTACTATAGACCGGTTTTAAAGCCAATTACACTCTAATTAGAGTGGGTTATGTTAATATGTTAATTTAAGGCACTTTAGGACTTCTGGCCCCTGTTGGCCTCCTAGTATTCAAATTTAACAGCGGTTTAAAATAAAAAAAACTTTGTAATGGTTGCGCTATGGCTTTATAATATATTTTATTTTGTATATAAACAAGCAGCTCGCGTTATCTATTATTAAAAACAGGCTGCAATTAGTATAGGTTTTAAAACACCTTTCGTCTGCATTTTAAGCTGGCAAAAGCAGATATGATATTTTTTAGGTCGATGGAATCCAATACTCGGTTTTCTATTTGAACAATAGTTTAACAATAGCAAGATCTGAAAAACGTTCCTGAAAAAAAGCTCCAAAATCAATACATTCATTCAATAAGTGAAAGTCAAGATCAGTAGGATATCCGTCAACAAGTTTTTGTACACTGCAAGTAATCTCCGAGATATCTATGCTGCGGAGATTCACAAGAAAACCAAAAAGAGAATTCGATTCAGAATAGGCTTTTATTCTTTTTTCTAGATTACTCATTAGTTTTTCCGGGATCTCATTTATGTAGGCAATCATTTAAGATTGCCCAGAAAACACTTTAGTTTCCACACTGTTAATTTCATCATTGTAACGCCTCTTGTGTGCTCTTGAAAGCCTTTGAACATGGGCACATTCATCCGTGTTATAGATAGACATAGATATATTCATCAAGCAAAAGTACGGCTTCCTTTTTATATTGCTACAAATTGGTGCGAACTTGCTGCACGTAATGCTCCAGAGAGTTATACAGTTCTTCAATCATATCTGAATCAATAATTACAAACTGCAGTTTCTTGTTAAATCTTTTGAATCTTTCCATGATTTTGTTCCAAAATTAAAAGTTGTTCTCAAGTTGTTCCATTTTGGTCAAAAGTCCGAAGACCTTTGTTCTTGGTTTTACTATCTGATCGTCGTTAAAATCAAGAAGAGCCTATATAGAAAGCATTTGTTAATAAGTATGCACAAATATCGCAAATAAAATATTTTTTTATTTGATTATCTAAATAATTCTTAATTACTTTATAATTAGAATAAATCTTTTCAATGGCTAAACAAGCATAAGCACGAGCTGACCAACGAGTTTGTGAGAGAGTCTAGGGGTCCACGTATTCCATCGAGGAACTTTGACTTTAAGACATTGGTGCATTGATGCAGAAAAGAAGTTATAAAATTTCTTAAAGAAAGCTGAAGAAATTAACAGCAGCTTTGTTGGATTCCGTGGCACTCACTCCTACGAGGTTCATGGATTGTATTTGGCAAGAACGTTGATCTTTTTAATTCTTGCTTGTAAACCTAAGTAGATTCCAGACATATTACTGCCATTGTCGTATGACTGGCTACGTCAATTTTGAATATTGAGCGCATACTAATATAACTTTTGCAAAACGATTCACGGAATGATAATCCTCTCAGAATGAACAATAAACAAAATATCAAATTATTTTAAATTTCTTTTATCAACATTATATTCTTAAATTTTTTTTTAAGTTTCTTTTTTCACATTATGTATGAACTCGAAATTTCTTTCAAGTCGTTAAAAAAATAAAACATCCAGTTTGTGATACGTCACATGCGCTGTTATTGCAAAGATTAAAGATCTCTGGGACATAAGAGGAAGTCAAAGATAAAGACTGATAGTAATATATATTGATTTTAATTATATATCTTTCAAATATTCACTTAGATGCTCTGACCCCTTGAACTCCGTGGCCTCCCGGCACGTGTCCAGAGTGTCCTTTGGTTAAACCGGCACTGAATGTAAACAATGAGATCTCCCCTCCCCGCCGCCTCTATTAAGCCGAAATCTTGCGTGTGGTAAAAACCCCACGTTTGAAAAGTACCCCCAAAATAGGTTTTTTTAGGAGGTGGAGTGGGATAAAGAAAATTAACTGTTGTCCTATTTTTCCCTCTACACATTTATGTAACTAGGGGAAAGTCGGACGCCGGGTAACTCCACACCTTGATGAACAGCTTAAACTAAAGAAGCTATGTAACTTTAAATTACTATAAAAATACAATAACTTTTTACTTTAAAAAAATGGCATATGCAAAATATCTACCATAATCTGTCAAAGAGATTGGCTGGGAGAGTAAGGTATTGTTTCCACCACCAGATAAGCGATGTGTCATCATATTTGATGCACTTTTATGTAAACTAATAACTTTTATTGACTAAAAATTTGTTTAACACTTTAGTTCACTGGTTTTAAAACTATTATTTGTGAATAAGGCGTCTTCGGTTGGTATAGGATACATGTTTGGAGGTGATTCCGGACAACTTAACCCTTTCACATATTAAAAATGAGAAGCTTTTTATATAAATAGTAGTACATTTAATATAATACGCAAGCCAAAAATAGTCATTCATTTAATTCTAATAAAAAGATCTAAGATTTGAAAAAAGTGTTGTTAAAGTGTTTATTTTCATTAGAATAAGCTAGTGTAAACATTTTCCTTCTCATTCCTTAGATATCATAGGCAAATTTTAAAATGTTTTGAGAACATTCCAATGCTAATTAATTGTATATTACATATCACAATTGTATATTGTGTCACACAGGTAAAAAAGAGGTAAAATCATGGATAAACTATGTGTTTACATTATGTTTGTGGCTACACTCCAATTTTGAAACAATCCTTTTTTCTAACATTTTTTCTTTTATGTTTTGTATATTATTAAGGTACGTAGTAATTATCATTTTTGTTTCTAATTCAATAGATAAATGTTTATACTTTCAAAAATGTCTTTTGACACTTTTTTTTCTGTTAGTACATGTGTACAATCTATTTTTTCCTAAAGTGTAAGGGACCTGACTTTGCCCTATATAGTGGAAACCTCTTGATTGTTCTAAAGAAGGTTACATGGTTTACGATTTTAATAATTTTTAAACAATAAATTTGATTTATATGTTGTTAACTAGTCACTTGTCCCACTTTACCCCACACCTGTTCCATTTTACCCCACACCTGTTCCACTTTTTTTTTACTATATTACAATCTTTATATAAATATAAGTAAAATAAAAAGTCATCTTATATTAATTTAAATTAATTACAAATAAAGATATTGTTAACAAATAAAGATATCGTTAGAAAATAAAGAAATATAGCAGAATAAAAAAACG